GCTACCGCTGGTATGACTTCGTCTCCAACTCCACGGTACGCCAAAAAACTGGTCAGCCGCCCGTCTCCCACAAGATCAGACAGGCCCGCCTGCGACTCTTTGGTCACTTAGCCAGAGCCGAGCCACCCCTGGAAGCTGCCAGTCTACTGAGGGCAGCCACGCCTGCAGGCTGGTCCAGACCCAGAGGCAGACCCAGACGCAGGTGGGGAGACCAGCTGAATGCAGACCTCAGCACAGTGGGCCTTGATACAGCTACAGCCTGGCTGAGGGCGCAGGACAGAACTGGCTGGAAGTCAACTTGGAAAGGCGCTACGCTCCCCGGAGCATGCGGTCCTGAGTGAGTGAGTGAGGATTTAAAGTTTGTTATTTCCGATGATTTCATGTCAAGTCACATAAAAACATGATGAGCTCCATTTGTTGTGATGGTCATGAATCATATGTGGGGAGTCATAATAATTGTAAAGTGTATTGGCTGACATTGTTTGTAATCTGATAGTGCTCGGTAAATTTGTTCTGACCTAGCAGCTTCGTAAGTAGTCCTTTAGGTATGTACGAATAATACAATGTACATGTACTTCTCAGCACATGAGTGACTCTGGGTGGTCCATGGACTGTAAAGTAAAACATCTAGTGTAAAAACAAGTGACAATCTTTCCATTTTTTTCAAATACAATTTTCAAATACACGCCACGACAATATTTGCAGATTTTTCTATCACAGCCCACAGATATACATTGTAATACCAGGGCAATGTTACAATAAACAGAAGAAATTGAACAAATGGCACATATCTTACATTCAATCTATTTTGAACATTTTTGTGTACATGTGTACACATCCGTATAGAAAGGTAAAGAGAAATATAAAGGCTTTGATATATACAAAATAAATATAAAATAATAGTAGCATTTATACATCCTTTAAGCAAATCCTTTTCCTGAATATTAAACGAATGGTATAAAAAGAACCTCATACATGTTTCAATGACATGTTTAACATAATTTGCTGTTGAGACACATAGTGCCAGACCATAGTAGCAGTTAAATTACACATCTTGCTACAGATAGTACTTCAGGACTCCTCTGCTTGATGCTCACAGTTTGCATAGTTAAACTAAATGTAAGCCACCATTAAACAACAATAAGTATTTCAGCATTCACTAGTTTTAGTAGATAACACTGCACATTCACTGCTATTCTAGCAGGGAGGTTTCTTGTCCGGCTCCATCATGCATCCAAAGAACGGCGCCTCGGGTAAGTCGTTTTCCCCAGAGTACACGGCACATTCCTTAAAGTCGCAGGGCCACTCCTTCCACAGGTAGCGGATGTACGTGACGTTCTCCCAGCAGTCCTGCGTGAGCTGCAGGGTGATGGAATAGGAGGTGCTGGACACGATGGGGACTGGAACCCACTCCTGCGAAGTCATGGAGCACTGGTCCAAGTCTGGGGAGCAGCACACCTGGGGGAACGTCACAAATGTACAATCTTTACTGAAACAAACTGGTCCAAGTGTGGGGAGCAGCACACCTGAGGGGAACGTCACAAATGTACAATCTTTACTGAAAAAAACTGGTCCAAGTCTGGGGAGCAGCACACCTGGGGGGAACGTCACAAATGTACAATCTTTACTGAAACAAACTGGTCCAAGTCTGGGGAGCAGCACACCTGGGGGGAACATCAGAAATGTACAATCTTTACTGACTTTTTCTTACCTCAAAACCCTCGTTGGCCTTGATGTTCACAGACGTGGGGTAAGTCCTGCGTACAGTCTTCTGCTCAGTATCCACGTCCACACTGACAGGACGCGGGCCCTGGAACAGGACGTTGGCCTCGTTGTACGCTACAGCACGCGCACTGAGGACCAATCGGCTTCCGACGTCTTGTTTATCACGAGGATGGATGCTGGGTAAACAAAATACATCACAGGTCAGATGACAGATTCAAAGTCTAAATGTACAACGAAGTCCGCTGTATTGAAAAAAAAGTTACATCTTCAAATCCATTTGATACTGCATAGCACTGTATCAAACTAGTGTGTAACACCTAAGACACTGTACCAGTTATGAAAAAATAAACGTGTAAACATGAAATCAGTCAGGATATTCTCTCTCCTTGGTGCTGAAAAAAAGGTACATCAAAACCATTTGATGGTGCATAGCACTGTACAAAACTGGTGTGTGACAATTGAGACACTGTTCAAGTTATCAAAGATAAACAGGTACTAGTAAAATGAAATTGTAATCAATCAGGATATTTTCTCTCCTTGGTGCTGAATGGTGATCACATGGGGTGATGGACTTCAACGGAACTACATGTATGTTATCATTAGATCTAACGTAGATTGTAGACCAACATTACATGTGTTGAACCCTGGAAGACTTTTTGAACCTCGGAAGACTAGTCGTCATGGACTAAAGGGTATCGAAATAAATGAATAAACGAATGTGTTGAAGCTTGTCCAAGTTTGAGGTTATTCCCTCTCCTTGGTGCTGAATGGTGATCACATGGACTTCAATGGCACTCACACTGTTCTTGTTCATGTGTTCTCTTCATGTGTATGGCACCATACTCAGGACAAAGCTAGACTGCTTTTTAAGCCCTCTCCAAAGTAGGACTGCAATCCGCTGGACTGTATGCACTCAATTTGCAACAGCTATCACAACAAGAAAGGAATACATGTACTGGCTTCATCTTCAAACACATTGTGTGAAAGATAAATGCATAAATACCTCCCAAATGGTGAGATTGGATCCACCAGGTCCACAGCCACTGCCATGAAGACATTGGGCATGACTGGGTTAGGGACATAGCCGTAGTCAGCTGTCTGGTGCCACCTGATGGCTGGATAGCCCATGTTCATTTCACCTGGCTGTGTCTCTGTTGATATCTGAATGCCAGAAAAATATTAGATCATGAGAAAAGATACATTGGAATAGATGAATACTAACTATTCCATTTTGGTGCAGAAAGAAAATGACAACTGAAAACTACAACCTATAACACAACGACAGAAGTGGAAAGAAAAAATAAGTAAATATAGCATACAAAGACTATCACAAATGAATCTTTACACAGTCATACTAACTTTCAATCTATCTGGTGATATCCCATCTTGGTCTCACTTTGATTTTTTCTCTATGCTTCAGGCTTCAATATGTCTCTCATGTTGTGCACTAGTTTTCTCTGGAGATTACAAAAATCATTCCATACTATAGGAGTATTGTAAGCCATTTGTATGTTTCAAAATTGTGTAAAGTTACAAATCGTGTCCACCTGCACAAATCCAAAGGGGAAGTGTCTGTCTGTCTGTCCCCCAGTCCCCATGTACCACTCCTTCCTCCAGCTGTCAATCATCCCAGGGAAGGAACAGGAGTAGGAGTCAGGTTCAGGGGTGTTGGACTCTCCTGGGTGAGTACATCAACATTGTAAACATCAGGCCACAAAAATTACTTTGTGGTTGCATAAAGCACCCTAATGCTGCAAAAAGCTGCCTAGTAAAGTTTAAGCTATCTGCTGACACGGGGGTAAGCTTCCGGATATCTATCTCAGTGCTTGTTTAAAGTTAAAACTTTTGGTCCAACACAAAAAAGTTCTCTCACCTAGAGCTTTCGACCAGTCACTCTAGTTTTCCTCAGTAGACTGACCCAGTGAAGCTTGTCACGTGGCTTCTTTGAAGTGTGGCGTCAACACTGGGTCAAAGGTATCTCAGTGCTTGATAAACTCTAGTACTCCCTGCCACAATAACTGTGACACAGAGGCAAAGATGTGGTCCAAAATGGGACTGGACTCTGTAAATACTTGCTACTTTGTGATGTAGAGGTAAGAATGTGATCCCAAACATGACTAGTACCTATTAGTAGTAAGCTGTAGTTCTGATCATTTATTATGAATTTGTAGGACTGGTGTCTTCATGTATCTTCATGTCGCAAAACGTACCTTGATACCAGATTGCCCCCATGATTGTCATATTCAGCAGAGGATGAATCATGGCATTCCACAGCACTGAATGTTCCCTGGGCCATCCTACCAGCTCAAAATCTTCCGTCTCTTCACTGTCAATAACATTAAAAATAAGACAGTGAGACAGCATTCTAGTCACTTTGGATTTGTAAAACACTGGGAATATATGGACAACTGAACTTTAAGCCTTTAGGCCACACCAATTTAATTTGTTGTTTCTCAGATTTTTTCAGAAAAAATTTGAAACAACAGGGCAAAATGGCAGCAGGAGAACATGAGAGAAAGCAATATGTTTCACCAAACCACTTTGTGGTGTGGTGAAGCCATACATACAAGAAGGTGAAACCACAGCAATTAGACTAAGTGAAAGTTTGTTAATTAGTGACATAACTGCATATTTTGGGTTAGTATTAATGATGATTATATTACCCTTCAAGTTCAACACTATAAGAGTTCTTTATACCTACCTGTGTGTTATATTGCAGGTGTCCAACACCTGAGGTGGTGACCATGTCTCTATAGCTGTGCCGCTCCAGGTAGTGGCCACCAGTCCGATGGGGTAGCCCAGGTGTTTGTACAGATCTCTCCCAAAGAACCAGCAAACAGCAGAGAAGTACTTCCAGTCTGCACCTCCAACACTTTCTATAAGGACACATGGATCAAATGTTTATCATAAGTTATGCTTATTTCTGCAGTGTTGCTTGTACCTTGTATATAATTTTTAACTTGAGTAAAATTGTATTTAAAAAGGCCACACCATTTGGAAGACTGCACACTACCAACTTTTTATAAAAAGAGATTGGCTTCAGACTGTTGTTGACTCTAGAATGACTCCAAAGCAAAATCATTCCAGCCCTAGTTGCTCACGCATTTTTTGTTTGTATCCTAAAAACATCCTCCCATGGCAGGGTCAGCGGCTCCGAGTTCCTTCTCCACCACTTACCCCTGCCGAATAAGCCCGCATCTTCTACTCTGCGACCCCAGGAATATTAATATTCATGAGCTTGCCTTATTTGGCATGACCCCATTTCTGACTTGGGCGGGGACGGGACGTCACCCTCCCCGCCGGCGACTCCGCCGCCGCCGGTGACGAGCCTGCTGGGGAGTCACCGAGCCGCCCCCTCTTTTCTCCGCGCCGACACCTTCCCCGTGCTCGGCGGGATCCGCGTGCAGCCTCCAGCACACGGTAGGGCCCCGCCGACGCCTGCAGCGGCCTGCATCGCAAAAGTTCTCTTCCCAAGACGACGCCATATTTGTTTTTATTTGTCACTGAACAGCCGATGTAAGAGCCGACATGATTGGTTCCGATAGCTAGCGCAGCTCATAAATATTTAATGTAAAGTGCGTTGAAGATTTTCTCTGTGATACGTGATTGGCTGAGAGCGTGTCCCTGGAATCGGGTCGCAGAGTAGAAGATGCGGGCTTATTCGGCAGGGGTAAGGGGTGGAGAAGGAACTCGGAGCCGCTGACCCTGCCATGGGAGGATGCCTAAAAATTGTCTGCAACCTTCTAAGAGAGAATAGCAAGAGAAGGGTTTAACTTACCAGAGCTAGCCACAGCCCAGGGCTGCAAGATCTTGTCCAAGTCATACAGAGGTTTGTCTGACTGCATTCTTTCAACAGTGAACAGTCTAATGTCGGTGAAGTTATCTGCTTCTGCTATGGTCTGGGGGGCATGGAATGCCTACAATTGTGTGAGGTACAAAAAGAAATGGTTTAAGCACATGTATTTGTTATTTTAGATTCATTCATAAAATTCATGATGTACATGCAAATATTTTTGTTTGGCATTTTTCATCCGTTGCAAAAGACAAAAAATTAATTACAGTTCATTAACAGATTAATATAATACTATGGTGTTTAATACCTTGTTGTAATGAGTCAAGGTGCAGATGTTGATTCCTGAATATCTTATCTTTAGATAAGTCACAATTATGTACAACAATCATTACCTGTCCCACAGTAAACTCCATGTTACTCTGTCCACTGCACACCCACACGTCTCCAAACATCACGTTTTCAAGAGAAATCCGCTGCAGTGTCCCGTTTACATCATGGACGCCATGAATTTGGTGCGGCCCTCCTGGTGGTATGGGGTCTAGCGAGACTTTCCAAACACCCTGCCCATCTTTTCCTGAGAGAAATAATGCAGCAGACTGAATTTTTGATCATGATGTAAAAGAATGAGTATGAAGTGACATCACTGATCTAGTGGTTAAGAAAGCAGATTAGGGATCAAGGTCGCTGTATTCTCACTTAATCTTAAGAAAGACACTTTTCTCACTCTACCCAGATTAAATTGCATTGGTTCGAGATTACATGTACATAATAGCAGTAGAACATAAGGATAAGATTACTATATCGATAATATTTGAATTTTAACTTTGACAGATGTAACTGTTATGTGATGGATTAACTTTATTGGAACCCAGGTATGGACTGTCAGTCAGAACATAAAACAAATACTGAAGAGAAACTAATGTAATTGAAAAACATACCTTTATAAACTGTGGTTGAGTAGTAACCTGATGTAAAACTGACGTTGACAGTGGCTCCCACCTCTCCGTACCCCCAGAGTACAGCCCTGTGTGGGCCCTGCTGTAGAACCATGTGGTTCCCATAGTAGGAGGCCCAGTTGAACGTGGCCGGAGCTAATAAGTAGATTAAAAATTAAATTTCATTCTGTTTGCAATACACTATCCAATGATCACAACTAAGAGTTGTTCCCTCAAATATTAAATACTCTAGTGACACTTAAATAATCTCTCAAGGAAGTGTTTTTCAGCAATTTCTAGCATATTTCTCTCACCGTCATTGTGTTGGCAGTGTAGTTGAGTCATGATAACGTTACACAATTTGTATAAGGTTAAACAAAATTACTGTACTAGAAATGCATTCTGTGACAAAATACCATCATTTACTTGCATATGTTAGAGCTTGGTAAATGCTAAAATGGTAAATGATAAATGCTCTACAAATTGGAGGTTCCTGAACAGGGGTGCCAGAGTATACAGTGCAATTTTACGAAATACAGTGCAATTTTACGGAATATAGTACAATCGTATTAGTATACAGTGCAATTCTACGGAATACAGTGCAATTGTAATTATACTAAAATTGCACTGTATACTAATACGATTGCACTGTATTCCGTAAAATTGCACTGTATACTGATACGATTGTACTGTATTCCGTAAAATTGCACTGTATACTCTGGCACCCCTGGTGTAGTACCTGTAGTGTTGGCAGCAGAACTGTGAACAAGGCTAACAACGACCACAGCCACCAAGACAGTCAGTAAAGCCAGAATCCCGACTGCTACAACAACTCTGAAGAGCCTTCCGGAAAAAAAGCCTTTGGGCTCCACCAAGGAGACTTCCTCATGTTGAAGGAGACCAGAGGAAGCATTGATTCCTTCATCCTCTGTACTAGTGTCAGCTTCCATGGTGGAGAGTGTACTGTAGGGCTGTGCATCACATGCTCACTAATGTCATGACATGTGGTAATGTTGGATGAAACCCTAGTAGGCTGTGCCTCAACTTGCAAGGACTGGGTTCTCTGGCTCCATCACTGATCCTGTGAAATGAATCTAATTAATTGCAATATTGATATTGCAATGAATAAGAAAATATATGTACTATAAAATTATCACAAATCACAGTGATAAACTTGAATTTCCTGATTTTTGTAACTTAGGTTATTTTGCTCCTAATATTAACGTTATATATAAATCTCATAACATTTGTGCTAAAGGGTCACAAACATTTGAAATGTATACATTTACACTGTAGAGGGTATGTGACTGGCAACAATGTCTGCAATGTTACTTAAAAATAAATAGCTCCAGATCACTTTCCTTCATGCTGCCTTGCTCTATTACGATATCTGATTCAGAAGATAGCCACATTATGTATCCAATGTTGGCACCGAAATATCGTACGTACCTGACATGCTGGGAAACCAATTTGAACTCTTTCCTCTCCCTCCCACACTGCCCCCAAAACGTCCACGTAGACACATGATACTTCCGGCTGTCATCTCGTGCAAACATCCCTAAATCTAGAATGGGACAGTCTGAGTGATGAAGTAGGTAAAGTAGAGTAGCAAAGGAGATACTGGAACTTGATGGTGAAATACAAAGAAAGACATCATCTCATCAACGATGTTAATTTCATATATAACGTAAATTTATATTGTTGCATCTCGTTTATTCCTTGCCTCGGTACCAGACGCTGGCGTTTCATAATATTGAAGCCATACAATTTTTTTGGGGAAAGAACCCCTAATGCCCGCTACAGTAACTGTTGATGATCCGCCTGTACCCGTCCAAGCCCTTGGTTTTATTTATCTTTCACGCCCCCGTCACGCCCAGTAGCGAGGAGATAATTAGAGCCAGAGTGCCGATAGCGGGGCGTCTGGCTTCTGTAGCCGAAGGAGATTTCACAAATTAGTCAGGCCATGAGGCAGTATCCATTGGTCAAAGTGTATCCATTGCACACGTACGATGGATATACAGTCTGGCCAATGGATACTGCCTGGCCAATTTGATACAGTGTCTTTTGCGGCATCTGCTTGGAGATTTCTGCCCCCCCTGCCCCCCAAGCAAGTTTTAATTGTATAACCAAGGAGCTTCTACACAAGCTCCTCGGTATAACGTTACTGAGTTACTGGTGCCTATTGGCCAAGGACGTTATAACGTTACATGTTGCATTGTGTCCTACCGTCACGTGGAGATAGTCACATGACGAATCACCTGTTTTGAGGTCAAAGAGCACGAAGTAAACATGGCAATGTTGAAGATGTGCGGGTCGCTCTGTTTTCTGCTCGTTCTGTGTTGTTTGTCCCAGTCTAGCGTCGCTGGTGAGTATAGTGTCTGAAAGTAGCAATGTAGGGTTCAATTCAGCTGTGTTCGTGGATCTATAAGTTAAAATATTAGTTGTTTATTCGAAAAGATGTTTCATTAAGTCCAAAACATTGTCACTTGTTTTGAACAAAAGGGGGGCTTTGTTTACATGTACCATGTACTTCTAACAGGGTCCACTCTATTTTACCGATCTGTTTTCTAAGATAACAGTTGAATTTACTTTTGTAGTTGGCTCCTACAGCCGAATAAGTAACGTTAACATCTTATTTTCACAAGGTTCCCTTTCTGTAAATATATTGTCTCGCACAAAAGCTATTGATTAAATATTGCCACAATAATGGGCCCGGATGGTGCTGTGGCAGTATAATGCATGGCCAATGTCCTTGGTGTGGCTTTAGGTGTGACAAGTTGATTTACGTTTTATGTAATGTAACCAGCCGCCGTGTACACAAGCTGTTGTGTTAGCGGTGTGAAAAGGGGTGGGTACCGTTATACAGTGATTTACTGGGTGGGCGTGACCATTATGCACACAGATAGACTTTCACTGCGTAGACAACAGCTGTTGCCACCTGTTGAAAACAATTACTTAAAAACAATTGCCAATCTAGATCTATTCAATCCAAAAGTTTCGACATGAAACTTAAAGCACAAGTTGTCTTCTTTATCACCAAATTAATAACTACAAAATGTATGTGTATATTGGTTGTTTAGTGTGAATAAAGTCGAATTGGGATAAGTCCTTGGACTCTAACCAAAATCAATGATAGATAATTATCGCTATTTCAGGCTGAGAAACAGATTTCAGTGCTTCAGAACACTTATGATCATTTTTCTATCAAAGCTCCCAGCACGTTCAACTGGGCCTCCTACTATGGGAACCACATGGTTCTACAGCAGGGCCCACACAGGGCTGTACTCTGGGGGTACGGAGAGGTGGGAGCCACTGTCAACGTCAGCTCTACATCAGGAGGTTTTTACTCAACCAAAGTCTATGAAGGTACAAGTATATTAAATCTTTTATTCCTTCCACTGTAGAAAAACTCTTAAAGTTGCTCTTTTGATTTCTTTTTGAAATAAGATTTCCCCTACAGAGGGAGTGATGATTCTCAACGTTTTATCTTTTTTTTTTCAAATATGAGAACAAACATATGAACTTGGCTTAACTCTTTCTAACATCTTCTATTTAAACAAGTGCTTATGGCGAGGTGTTGGTGGTGCAATGGTTAGAGCATTGGACTCTGAACCAATAAGTCCATGGTTCATTACTCACCGTGGCCCGACGTTGTGCCCTTGGGAAAGGCACTTCACACGACTTCCCTCCCTGTACGATGGAGTGATGCCCACCGAGCCTCTTAGGCTAATCTGTCACTACGGATTTGGTGCGCCAATCTGACAACTTCTGCACATTTGCCACCAAGAGCCGTTAAATTTTTTTTAATGCTTATATCTTCTTCTCAATGCCTTTCCCAGGCCACGATGGTAGAGGTGTTTGGAAAGTGACGCTGCAGCCGACGGCAGCGGGAGGGCCGTACCAGTTCCAGGGCGTCCATGACAACCAGGGGATGTTACAGTGGATCCTGCTGAAGGACGTTATGTTTGGAGACGTGTGGGTGTGCAGTGGGCAGAGCAACATGCAGTTCACTGTCAGTCAGGTAGGCTGCATGTTGTAGCACGATAGATTGTATATTACCGGGTAAGTCAACATAACCAAGCAAGACATACAAAGCTAGGGCAAAAAAAGGGAAAAAGGGAGGCAGGGACTACATTTTGTGAAATAGAGAGGAAAGATGCATGACTGAGTGTGGACAAAAAGTTGAAGATTTTCAAAGCATGTGACATACATGTATCATAATTGAGAGCTACATACATGTAGCACACACACTCCTTTATATATACACATATACATTCTATCACATTTGAGAGATTGAAAGGAAACGATTATTTACCAGTAATATGTTGTAAGCAAAATGACATGACATTTAACTGTTCCCCTTTGCTCCTGTACCTGTACCTGTAGGGCTTCAATGCCTCAGCTGCCATCGCAGAGGCTAAAAACTTCCCAGACATCCGACTGTTCACAGCAGACCTGGTGCAGTCTGACAAACCTCTGTATGACTTGGACAAGATCCTGCAGCCCTGGGCTGTGGCTAGCTCTGGTGAGCAGACGTATTCTTGTTTATGTGTCAAATGTTAAGGTTTTAAAAGGGTTAAAGATTAGTGTAATTCTCTAAAAATCTTTGCAATCGAATGGTTCTGAGCAAGCTAATGGGAGTCAGTGACTGAGCAAATTTTTAAAGTGAGATGTTGTAGAACCAAGAAAATAAATTTGTGTGGTATAACGCCTCCTTGCAGAAAGTGTTGGAGGTGCAGATTGGCAGTACTTCTCTGCTGTTTGCTGGTTCTTTGGGAGAGATCTGTACAAACACCTGGGCTACCCCATCGGACTGGTGGCCACTACCTGGGGCGGCACACCTGTGGAGGCGTGGTCATCTCCTCAGGTGTTGGAAAAGTGCAACATTACAAACAGGTAAACCTGAAACGTTGGTATTCAGAGATGGCAGACTTCACCCCTTTACTCACCCAACTTTGCAACTCTCCCAGTCCTTGTCAGAAAAAAATAGCGAAGAGGATATGTAGAAATGTATAATGCATTGTGTATATTGGGAACTGAAGAAACACTCACATACCCTAGGTATTGTAATGTTGTGTACTATTTTTTGTTTCATGATGTACATAAATACATTTTATATATGTGCGGCAAAATGCAACGCTAGTAAATGAATTTTCAAAGGAAAGCGACACATACAAACAAACAAACAAACGTACTTCACTTCATTGATTTGAGGTAAATGTTATACCAAGGACTTGATATTAAGTCCTTTGTTATGCATAACATACTGTATGTTGATACATTTCTACTCAGTGTTGATAACAGCTATGATCATTCTCCAATGTTCCTGATAGATTTGAGTCAGAAGACTTGCAGTATACAGGTCCTGAGGTGGGAGGGCCCAAAGGACACTCTGTGCTGTGGAACGCCATGGTTCACCCTCTACTTAACATGACCATCACAGGAGCCATCTGGTATCAAGGTATTACACCTTATCTGTGATGGCAAAACCTTTAGTTCCAAAGTCACTTTGTTACTTGGTTACCATTTAGTAATAGCTTTACATTGATTGGTGCAAAGACTAGACTATCTAGACAATGTTACATGTACATGTTTGACAATAGAAACAGTAACAATTGTACATGTTAGGGTAAATATTACATTAAACATTACACCTAACATTAATGTTGTGTTGCTGTAAGTATTTGTCCAGCATAACGTTGCTGATCCTAACTAAAATTCCAGACAATTATGTTTTTTAACTGTGATGTTGCTATTATTTCAAGTCATCAAATTGTGCACTCAAATGTATAACACTATGCTCTGTCCACTTATCTCTCAAAGACAGGTGTGTCATAAAATATGGACAGGGCTAGCCTAAACTAAAAACCTAACTAAATGCTAGCCTGGTATCCAAAGTGAAACATATTTCAGCTGCTAAGTCTTTTTTATCCTCTCCACATTTGTGATACTTAGGATGGAAGAGATTTGGCAGATCAAATAGGTTTGTATACCAGGCCAACTAAATGGGACTTTGTTGTTTCATCACTAGGAGAGGCTAATACTGGTCACCCTGACTCCTACTCCTGTTCCTTCCCTGGGATGATTGACAGCTGGAGGAAGGAGTGGTACATGGGGACTGGCGGACGGACAGACCCATACTTTCCTTTTGGATTTGTGCAGGTGGTCCTCATTGTGACGTATTGTTTTTGTAGTATTGTAGAAGGTTTAGAAACTGTGATTCAACACATTACAAGTAAAACGTACTATGTTTTTAGCTCGTCTCTGCTTCTGCTCTGAGTGAAGAATCAGTGCAAGTATCACAACATGAAAATTCATCTATGTTTGCACTATATGACATTACTACTAAATATCATATCGTTATGATCTACATATAATAATCTCCAAACAGATGTATTACATGGATTTATGTTTTTTTATAGCAGTCTACCATTGTCAAACTGCCCATATTACTATTGATCTACTGACATGTCTGTCTGCTTTAGCTCTCTACCACTGGCACCCCAAAAGCCACCGGTAATTTGGGCTATCCAGCCATCAGGTGGCACCAGACAGCTGACTACGGCTATGTCCCTAACCCAGTCATGCCCAATGTCTTCATGGCAGTGGCTGTGGACCTGCCTGATGCAAAGTCACCATTTGGCAGGTATGGTTGAGCATCATGAGAAAACCCCAACTTTCTATTAATTGAAATGAAAGCTGACATTTCTCTGCACCCAAAGTCCACACGTTTTCTGAATCTACCTATAGCTAGTATCTTGAATATTTTTAGGCAACAACTTTTTGCAGTTCAAACCTTTTGTAAGAGACTCAGTGTATTGAACAGGGATTGGGCCATGAAAGGGTTCTGAATGTTTGACATTTGGACTAATTAATAATCGGTCAAACCTAAGCTTAAAGTTATTGCAGAAACTTTCCAACATAACTTCAGGTTTCCTTTATAAACTTTGAAGTGTGTAAGTTCTGCATTTTGATTTTGTACGCCAATCTTCCAGCATCCATCCACGGGACAAACAGGACGTAGCCAGCCGATTGGTCCTCGCTGCCCGTGCCGTAGCCTATGGTGAGACTGATGTGATGTTTCATGGTCCCAGACCTGCCAGTGTGTCTGTGGACGCCTCCACCAAAAATATTGACTGGATCTATCCCAAAGCCATGAACATCACTGTCAAGTCTAAAGATGGCTTTGAGGTGAGGAATATATATGTTTTTAAACATAAAAGTAAAGATTGTAAATCAATGTTATAAAATAAGAAGGTAATATCAGCGGTGGTTTTCTGTTTGCCAGTGTGCTGCTCCGCAAACTTGGACCAGAGTTTGTTTTAGTAAAGATTGTAGATCTACATTACAACACATGTAACGTTAACATAAATTCTGCACATTTGTGACATTCCCCCCAGGTGTGCTGTTCCCCAGACTTGGACCAGTTTGTTTCAGTAAAGATTGTACATTTGTGACGTTCCCCCCAGGTGTGCTGCTCCCCAGACTTGGACCAGTTTGTTTCAGTAAAGATTGTACATTTGTGACGTTCCCCCAGGTGTGCTGCTCCCCAGACTTGGACCAGATTGTTTCAGTAAAGATTGTACATTTGTGACGTTCCCCCAGGTGTGCTGCTCCCCAGACTTGGACCAGTGCTCCATGACTTCGCAGGAGTGGGTTCCAGTCCCCATCGTGTCCAGCACCTCCTATTCCATCACCCTGCAGCTCACGCAGGACTGCTGGGAGAACGTCACGTACATCCGCTACCTGTGGAAGGAGTGGCCCTGCGATTTTAAGGAATGTGCCGTGTACTCGGAAAACGACTTACCCGAGGCACCGTTCTTTGGATGCATGATGGAGCCTGACAAGAAACCCCCCTGCTAGAATGGCAGTGAATGTGCAATGTCGTCTACTGGTGTAACTAGTAAATTTCTGAAATGCTTACATTGTTCTTTAATGGTGGCTTACATAAAATTTTACTATGCAATTCCAAGCTGTGGCATCAAGTACAATGTACATGTAGAGAAGGAGTCTTCTAAAATGTTGGTAAATTGTAGGTGGCTTACATGTAGTTTTACTATGCAATTTTAAGCTGTGCACTTCATAACACACTTTGTTGATCTGATAATCCACTATATCTTAATTTTAAGAAAGCTGTTACCATTGAAGAGTTATGTCTATTCCTCATTGAAGAAGAGTCAAATTATAAAGTACTCTAAATGGAATACTGCCATTGATATGTGCCTTCTGAATTAGAGTTCAAAATTGTGCATTACGAGTATATTCTGAATTAGAGTTCAACATTGTGCATTATGAGTATATACTGCACACTTGCCATATTTACACATCTATAACACGAAAATATTTATGATGACCAATTGAGTAATAAAAGTCGAGAGTAATTTTATATTACTATTGTTAGGTCAAGAAGGATATCTTCAATATAACCTCATGGGTAATGAGGTAAATGTATTGTTCTATACAGTAAATAAGTGACTTCTATGCAAATGATTTGATAGTCATTGTCATTCAAAATCTAGTCTTTTTAACTAGGAAGTAAGGTTTACCAAAGACAGGTTGCAAAGCAATGCTATTTTATTCACCTTCCTAGGGCATCACGTAACAACCATTTGATAACATTTTCATATGCTAAATCTAAGTTAATGTGCACAAGATGCCCTGTCACCTAATACACATTGTCAACGTATTGTACAATGCAGTTTTATCTTTGCCCTGCAATAGCAAATATAACTTGCCCTTTTTCTACAAGCATTGTCTCATAATTATCTGATTCGATACTATCTCCCAAAAAATGGTAAGCGGCGGTTTTTTGGGCGCTCTGAATCTGTACATCTTGTTCAGAAACGTCAGGTGTTCATCTCAAAAAGGTACAAAAGCTGCCGTCATGTGCAACGTGACTTTTTGTGACATGCAGTACGTAGGAAGAACTCGTTTTAAACACAAAGACTCGGTAAGGCTGTGAGAGAAATAACGTTAATTAACAGTGCTGACAGAAATACACATCAAGAACAAAATTTTCAGTGGTTATCAAAGAAAAAAAAGGAAGAATGGAGTACACTATCTATGAACATCATACAACTTATCCAACACCTTAATGTTTAATACATTTTGTACCTGAAGACAAGTTTGCACAATATTAACTTCAAGTAAACTTCTCCTGTAACCAATGCTAACCAACCACTAGGCTAGCACAGAATGATATTTAAACATCCTAATGTAGGTAAAAATGTCTCGTGACCTGGACCACGAGGTGTGCAATTTTCATGTAAAATTGACATTTTTTTTGTCTTGTATTTGTGTTGGTAGCTGTTTTGGGAGAGTGCAAAACTTGTGACAATCACAAGAAAGTGGACATTACACAAATGCAAAACTGGGTTTGACAGGCACAGATGACATTTTCAACAATAAAAAAAAGAATAAAGTGATAAAAAAAAATCCTATGCAAAAGGAGGGCTTTATATTGCACAGCAGTTTTGAGATTTTGGACAACACCTGAGAAATCATCCTTTCTCTCCTTACAAGCAAATTATTGCTAGCTGAATGGTAAATTTCTGCATATACAACTCAATCAACCTAGTCTCAGGCCTTCATGTATCAATATTCCTTATCGGTCATTTTAACAGTACGAATCAGCAGTTAGTTTCTTTGAAAATTCTCAGAAACACAACTGGCAAAATATTTGCCACATTAACAGAGTGACCACTTTTTGAATTAGACACGTACAAAAAGAAAATGTATATCTAACATAGTCCTTAGGACAGTGTTGCCTTTTCTCTGCTGATGCTGTCTTTTACCTAAATGCATTTTCCAAAGCTTACTTGCCATTCTGTTTGGTACAAAATATAAAAGTGTGCCAAACTCTGGAGCTCATTTTTGCTAAGGCTTGGGCAGCCTGGTCTCTTACTTTTAAATCACTGATTGGCTGCTCAACAATGCAACACACAAGAGTTCACCTTCAATGGCAGCATCTAAGTTTCAGTATTTCAATGTTTGCCTCTGTGCAGTGTTAAAACGTTGCCTCGGTGGCAAGAAAAAGCTGCAACTTGCAACAAACATTAGCTTGTATACACCCAAGTATGGAGCTCGCTGGAATCAACTTTCGGCATACGATAACGTCTTTCATTATCGCTCGAACACTATATTCCGTCAATGAGTACTTTTGCAACCCCAATCTTCGACAGCCAACATTCTTTTACACTAACTGTTCTCTGAAACCTTCCCATGATCAACTGTCTGAACATATCTACGTCCTTGGAAAAAGTGGCAACTTTTGGGCATCATCTTTCAAAGTGTCATTCTTTTTCCAAGAAAATTGGATCTTCCTAAATACGACAATTTGATTCGCCCCATAGACGACTCAACTGCAAGTTGAAAGGAAAATCTCTTATCTATAGAGTAGTTCCGTCCTTACATGAAGTCCGGTTTCAAATACTGTACAGCATCTACATTTATCAACTGTAAAGACATCCATTGTGAACATCTCTACGGTTCCATGCTAAGGAGCAGTGCACCATTACAAGCCAAAGTCCGGATCCTACGTTTTGAGGCAAAACAAACAAGCTCGTACAAAAGTCTTCAATGCACCGACACTCCTTCATCAATGGAATTACACTTAATAATCACTTTCCAGTATATCTTGGTCTCTCGTTCTCGCCTGCTTGTTGTATCTTCTAGTTCGTATAGCTGCATTATGATTAGATGCTCGTCTTCATTCTAGTGGGTCAGCAGCATTAATGTCAATCTTCGTTCAGAGCAAAGTGTCAACTTTCAAACTATTCGAGTCATTTCGCTGCAGTCACGTAAAGCAGCTTCATTGCTCCTCAATACTTTCTGGAGATCTCAAACTCCTATGTACTTTTTGGAGGGCTCAAGCTCCAATGTCCAAAGTTCGACCGTGAAATGCCGTTTAAAAAAGAAACACTTTTTTGGCATTTTGGAACTGAAAGGTGGCGGTGGCTCAGATCAGGTCGCAGCGGCGGTAGTACAGGAGGTATGGCACGCGTGGAGGGGTGTACTTCATCACCTGCTGGGACGTCACCACTTTCACGTTTTGGTCGTCGAAGCGGAGCCACCCGTTGATGCCCACGTGGAACACGTCGGTGGTGTAGTGACCGCCCGTGGCGTTCTTCCCGTGGTGGTAGACCACGGCGAACAGGCGGTACGTACGCTGGCCCTGGTGGAGCTTGTTCTTCACCGCAGGGGACAGCAGTTCTGATCCGAAACAAGAAAATACATACATTCACTTTTTCTATACATTTTTTTTTCTACATAAGGTGTTCTACTTCTAGCCTGGTTGAAATTTACAACACTAGTTAAAACTGGTATGTTCAACACAAGAACGTCAACATAAAGACAACATTCACCAAAAACTTTCCTAAAAAACTTTCTTAAAAAACTAAAAAAAGTTATTCTCCCACATTTGAGTCATATGAAGTACTAAGTTCTTCTCCTGTCCTACCTTTGTTAATGTCCAGTTCGATGTTGAAGTCCACCCTCTTCTGTACCTTCTGAGAACCGCCCGTTTTGTCGTAGACGAAGCGTTTGAGGTGCAGGACCAGGACGGGGGGAAGGTCCTCGATCATCATCCGCCGCGACGCTTCCACCTTCAAACACATCACGACATAATTCGTGGTCACACAGTCCTATACACATCACTCCAGCACGTCAGCAGAACGTATTGCGCCTGCTCAAAAGCCCCATTGTCACAGTTTTTGTTGGATTTTTGGTCAACGTTGCATCAGAAATTTGCCTGTTGCAGAAGATATCTTTTCCCACATAACATTTGGAAACTACAGATGGGATGTTAACCATATACACGCGACATGATACTTACGCCAAAGTCCATAAGTCAGTGCAAACACCCTACAAAAAGGACTTCAATGCAACATGACTGATATCCTGCTCTTAAACAACAATCCTCACCTCTTGTTTGGTCTTGGAGCATGTGTACCCATGGATGGTCTCCTTAGTCACCATGGCCTCCAGGGCATCTTTCACGGTCCAGATCTTCTCAGACTGAAGAAAAACAGAAAATGTTCATAGTTTTTCATTTACATTGTAGTGTTTGGATGTCATAATTTTTTTAAAACAATTCTATTTTCGGTAAGTATGCCTCTTTCTATTCTAATTGTAAGGAACTAATAAAGGAAAACAGCCTAACCTGGATGTCCAGCTGCAGTGTGAAGAAAGGCTGCAGTGTGGCGGACTCTCGGGTGCCGTGCTGGTGGAAGATGGAGCGCAGCTGGCCACCGAAGATGTCTGATATCGGCGTCCTGACGAAGTTTGCCTGAGCACAGGAATGGACAAAAAACCTGTCAGTATGCTAACTAAATTCCATTCCATATGTGAACTATTTTAGTGTAATTCACTGACTTTGTCTTCACGGTAGCAAAATTTTGCAGTCTGAGGAAATGAACACCACAGTGTTGGGAGGGGGGGCAAAAGATTTGATAATGGTAATAATGACAAGTTCAATGACAAGTTTTTGAAGTGACTGTAAAAACCATGAACATAAAAGGTACAGTGACAAACTCAGGAATTACAGTTACTGTACAGGCCAGGGCCTGTAACTTTAACATTAGACCACAATGCACCACACTACTCATGCACACTTTAAAACTCTACAAACCGACTTAGGAAGACCAGAACTCACAGTCCGTGTGACAGTGGACTTGTTCTTTGGTCCCACTTGCTCCCACTCGTCCTCATCACCCTCCTCCTGCTCCCTCATGTATCCCTCCACCGCTCCGTCCTCTCGTGGGGTCGGCGAGGCAGGGCCGTCAGACTTCGGTGTCAGCTCACCGTTCATCTTAGGCTGGTTATCTGTAATAAAAGACAAGAACATTTTCTTTATACCAGGAGAACCATGATCAACACTTCACCATTACACCATGGGCATTTTTTTGCCAAGTTGTATCTGAAGGATTTTTTTTCTTACCACCATAAAGGTAAAATTGTGATACGCCAGAGAACAGTGGAGAGGGAGAGGCACAGCTACATATTTTACTCCATACCATTTTTGAATGGTGAAGGAGGTGGTGTGAAATATATTGCATTTGCTTGCAAACATCTGCCTCTTTTGTTTTTTAAATGCCTTGCCTCAGCTACTCAGAGCATAATGGACTACTCTCTGCTGCCTGTATGTGTATTGTAGTGTTACCTTTCTGTGCCATTTTCATGGCCACCTGCATCTCTTCATGGATGCCATTCAACACGCAAGACAGGAACTCTTCTGCATCCTCCTGCCGACCCTAACAAACAAACAAACAATTGTTTACCTATTACTGTGTACAGCATGAGAATGCCAATCAACAGTACAGTTATAGAGGGTTTGTTAATGCAACAGAAACTAAAGTGACTCTCGTAAGTTCAACTACAAACTTCAAATTAGAAATACAAAATAAGTCAAGAAATTCTCTTTACTAGTAAATATGTGGGTTTCAGTATATTCTTTTTCTCAAAATGTAGGAAACCATGACTTTCCTGAGGTGTCACAGCCAGGCATGAAACACCTGGTGAAATGTATTAATACATATTCATTTCCTTCACGAAAATACAGTATTTTGGAAACAGAACTTGTTTACTAACCTTGGAAGACAGCGTGGACTTGATAAGAGACAACATGTGGTAGACGTAGGTCGGCTCAAACGGGCTTCCTGGTCTCAAGTCCTGGGCAGGCTTCTTACCAGCTGGGAAACCAAAGGATCACTCGTTAATAGTCACACTTACTTTGTAACAACAGCAGGGATTTTGCAAAAGCTGACTTTGACATAGGATTACTCATAAAATATGTATAAAAACTTGAGCATGAGCATATCATCTCATGATAATACCTGTGTCACAAAGAAAAACATCATTCAAGTGAATTACACCAGACTAACTACTGCACTTTTTGTAATAACACCATCAGAGACAAAGAAAACATTTAAATAGGATATAGTTTTCTTTTTACATTTCTAAGTTTGTCTCTCCTTGCGATATGTAAGCAAGGTGAGACAAGCTTGGTTGTGTAAAAGAAAACTACATGTATATTCTATACTTTACCAACCTGATGAAACTATTTTTCGGAAGTAGACATTCGAATGTTTAACAACTAACTTAAAAGTTGAACTCCACTGACCTATGGTCTTTTGAGAATTAGGCATGGATCCAAACTCGCCCATGAACTCCATTCTGTAAAACAGAACAAAACAAGTTAACTCAAAGCACTTCCTTTTTAACCGTTTCGTATCGCATATCAAGCGTATTAGCTATTGGCATGATTTTTACCATACATGTACCTATACCAGTAAGCACCAAGTGTAAGACCTAAAACAAGACCAGCCATGTCACAATTTCTTAAGTTAATATCTAGATTCTAAGAGAATGAATACCAGAGAGAAAACTTTGACAATAATACAATAAAGTAGCGTATACACACAGGCAGTCCAGGATTGGTGTGGCAGTGGGGCCCCTCTTGTTTGGCGAGCTGGGGAGGGGCGTGTTCTTCATGAGGTTGTACATGGGGGGACAGGCTACCATGGCCTGGAGGGTCTGTTAGGGTTGGTCAAGGCTTAAACTTGTCACAGACACAAGAGCAGAATTGCTATTTCTGAACATCGAAAAGCAAATAAGATTTACTTAGCCACATGGACAACCCTGTTATTTCTGAAAGAATGTATGATGTGAATGTGTAACTATTGACTTCGATACATCAAAACCTAAAAACAGCAGAAAACACTAACATTATAGATCTAGATCCACATTAGTAACTGTGGGCATGTTAGCTGGATGTGTTGTTTCTGAATCCACACAAACACAGAAGGATACGGCATTGATATAACACCAGTTGCCTTTGTTGACCAGTCCACGTGGCTGCAGGGCCACTGGCTTGTGGCTTACCTTGGGGTCCAGTAGGTACTCTGAGGAAGGGAAACAATAAGAGAATGTTACACAATTCATGTTTGTCACAAGGCCTCACAATATGACAAATGCCCAAACAATTCTCGTACTTTTTCAATGCAATTTTCATTACTATTCATTAGCATTTTGGACAAAACAGTTTCTTCGCCTCCAGCTAATGTGCACTGATACAAAAGTTCAACACCTGAAGACTTTAAGAGTAACAGAAACTATAAATATTATCACTCCTTTGTTTATCCTATCCTACGTTGTCCTACTTGAACATTGTATCAGATAAAAATTTGAGTGCCAACCTCCAAGGCCCCTTATGTGGTCATCGTCTTCTGGGGGTACAACCATCTTCTCAGCAAGCTTGGCTTGGGGTTCACCTGTGGGGCCTTGGGCTGGTGTGGGGATGCTGGCGGGCGCAGTCTCGTCGTTCCCCACGTGTGCCACGTAAGCTAGAGGGGCATTATGGGCCATCTGTGGACTACTACAGCGAACAAGAGGAACAGAATTAACATTCTGTAACTTAGCTTGAACGATATAGCGATAAGAGTAAACAGAGGGAAAAAAAAACAATATTACAGCCTGCTGTTGCTGGTAGAAAAGACTCAAATTTTAATCATTCACAAAAACCAAACTGATCAATTTTCACAGGTACCTTGAGCCTTTGAATAATCCAGCCCAAGTTTTAGGAGTGGCCGGGGGAGGAGAGGACACAGCAGGTGGATTTGAATTATTTACAGACTGCTCTGATTGGCCGTCATCTCCTTGACTGACAGACTCCTCACTTTTTGCATCTTCCTGGCTCTCTCCCATTGCATTGTGGGAATAAACTGTTGCTGCAGTTGCCTCTTGGGAAGGATTTGACACATTTCCGCCAGCCTCTTCCTCTATTATTGCCCCTGCTGGGTTAGAATGACTGCTAACTTCATGAGTGTCCTCAGCAGAGGGCTTGGCGACGTCTGCTGGCACTGGTAACGGTGACAAGGGTCCGTTTGGAACGACCACTACGCTAGGAGAAGGAACAATGGGGTCTACATTTGGTCTATGTTTGATCTCAGAATCCCCAACTGTTTTTAGAATAGTCCTGGGAGGTTCCTGAAGGGGGCTAGCAGGCACGTCGTTAGAGTGGGAAGTAACGTTAACATTGCTGATCGCTACGTCTTTCACAGGCACATGTTGATGACTCGCGTCAACGGGCTCCAACCGCCCCGAGCTCTCTGATATTCTCTGTGGTCTCACGTCCACGTGATTCTCTACCGGTCTCTGTAACGGCGCGGGAACATCTGTAACAACTGTCTCTGCAGATCCTGCCTCAAGATCCTTGTAATAGTTCGGCGGGCGCTTCTTTTTGTTTCTCCTCTCCTTTGGTTTGGCGTTTCCGTTAATATTATTACCATTACCATTTCCATTGCTATCGTCTTTCACTGTGTCCTTTCCTTGCACGGATTCCGACTCGCTGCTAGCGACAGAGTCTGAGGGGCTCCGGTAATATCCCTGTTTGTCGGAACTCGATATGTAGCTGGACTCTGACGATGAATCCACGCGGTGGTTGGCGGAGATCTGGACGTAATCCTGCTGCTGCAGGGAAGCTGGGGCGGAGTCTACATAGCCTGGCGCAGGCGCATGGGCGACTTGGTCCTCTACTGCTGAAACCTCGGGGATGGCTGCAACAAGGACAACATAATATCAGCAAACAATACTAAATTGAGGTCAAGATATAAATGAATAATTTAATAGACAGGCTTTCTGCTAGCCATAATAACACAACACATGACGTGATGTGATCTTCTTTTCATAGCAACCTGCTTTTCAAGTCAAATATAGGCCATACTAATTAGATCCTTGAACCTTTGAAAGGGATAATCATGCGGGATAATTATACAATCTACTGTCATAAAAAGAGCAATGCCTACACTGTGTATTCATCAGTATTCGTACTTGACCAAACTTTTATGTATCATTCTCCTTGCCTAGTGTTTTTATGAAAAGAAAGAAATGAACTGACAAATGTCAAAATGTATGCACTAGTCTGTGGCAGGCTGTTCTGCCATGTGGTTATTTGCCATGACCCTGTGAACTTTAGTCCCCCACTAGGCCCTGCCAAGTGCCTCTCCAACATGTACAAATATAGCAGCACATCCCGACCCAGTGTCTATTTCCTGCCATCCACCTGCCACTGGGGTGACATGCAGGGGGATACCTCCGGCTATTTCCAGCCCTACTGCCGGCTAGCCAGCATGTACCAATCTGGAACTATGACTTAGGCCACAGCAAGTAATTCTTATGGATGACATCACCGGGCTCATTTATTTTTGCCTGATTTGGGGAAAAAAAAACAAATTTTGTTGCCCTCTGACAGTGGTCAACATGCCACAAAATGGAAGCATGTACCAATCTGGAACTATGACTTAAGCCACAGCAAGTAATTCTTATGGATGTCATCACTGCGCTCATTAATTTTTGCCTGATTTTTGAAAAAAAGAAGACATTTTGTTGCCCTGTGACAGTGGTCAACATGCCAAAAATGGACAAATATGTCTGTTGCCATGCCTAATGTGGATGGCAGATAAATATGAAGAAGGAAGGGGAAAACACAAGGCTCGATTGTTTTGTCTTTTACTTTGATGAAGTGATGTATGTCATTCCTTTTATATGTGATGTTCCCCCTGAATCAAAACCATTTGTACAATGATATCAATTGAAAACTTTCATTTTTCAGTGACAAATGGATGTTGTAATAGTTGGCACTTAACTTAACACATATATTAGGTATTATTTCTTGTCCAACAAGGTTTACGATTCCAAGATTTGAAAATGTAGGAATCTTGTTTTCTTTGGCCTGTCTTGCTTTTTTTTGCCCTATCGCAGTAGATTTGGAGTTTGTGGAGGATGTCACCCATAAAATTTACTTGCTGTGGCCCCACTGTGTGTACAGTTGGGCTAGACTGTCAGCTACACTAGGGACAGATAACACTTGTGGCGACTCCACAATTTGGAAAACTGCAGGAATTTGTCATATCTAGAGCCTTTAATATGTTCTGAGTAGTCTAAGTACGTACACAGTAAGGCTAGCATGTTTCTTAAATGTACAAGTTCATGCACAAGTTAAAACAAGAAGCCATAGGCGACAATTCTCCGTGAAGTTTTATATATTTCAACAAAATCCCAAGCGTCAACGCCAGACCTACTGTGCAGACATTATAATTAGGCAACGGTTAATACCACGCTCGTCCCCAGCGCCCGTGGAGAAGCCATAGGTTATAGATCGTGGCTTAGCCCAGGCTATGGAAAATAAACTTTCTTTAATGCAAATCTGTCGTTTTTGTTTTCTTTGCGCTATCTAAAGGGTTAGGATAACCTACTCTACTCTGGCGGTATTGTCGTGCGCGCTCGCTAGTACGTAACGTTACACGGCGGCCATCTGAATACATGTACACTGCATTCTTTCTACTATCGGGACCTAAAACAAGACGCAAGATTCCTATTTTGGGGTATAAAATGCTGTCACAATGGTAATATATACCAAATGAAACGGACCTTTACAAAGTACCTCATTTGGTGACGCTATGAGGGTGTACCGTTATCCCTCTACATTTGCCCAGAAGGGAGTTAGTCGCGGAAGGAACTAGCCACGGAGGGAGTTTTGGCATTCTCCGCCCGCGCCACAAACTCTCGTCCCCAGGACAGTTCACTCTGCTACCCAGCATGCTTTGCGCAAAATGCGTTCTCGGCCCCAGGACACAAATACACGCTAATGCTTCCGCACTGTGTTGCTCTGGGGACCCCGCCGCGCGCCCAGATGTGGATTTAATTATAGCGCGCTAGCGGACGCTGCGGAGGAGCGTGGGTTAATACAATGAGGGCGCGTCACAAGCATAAAACATACAAAGAGCTAAATCCATTACTGCTCCCAGGGCGTGTAAAGATACTGTGCTTCAAGTTCTAACTTCATTTTAATTACACACACACAATCATTGCATTCACATAAAGATCGGACTATCATGGTCGTGTCTAGTAACAAAGACAGCCCCACCGTCTTACGGTGCCTGTACCTAATTAAGCGCGCCTGGAACAAGCCAAATTCCAGCAACAGTGGCGGTAAGCACCGCGAGTGTTACTACCGCCGGCCAGATAACCAGGATATCTGCTTACAGTACCTCTGCTACCAGACAACTGCCTAAACCTACGGTCTATTCCACAGGATTGTAAAAGTAGGGATGTTTCGAAAATAACCATTTACTCCAATATCAAAACAGCTACGGTAAAAATAAAAAGACGTGCATCATCCCGGACATAATGCAACACCACATGCGAAATTACACAGATATGCGACGTACGGCAGAATGCGTTTTGGCTGCGAACATCTTCCAAAAAACTTGGCATCTCTTAACCATGGGCAAAAACATCTGGAACCACTTATAAAAACCACCCCGTATCTGCATGAACTTTTACCTCCCCCCCCGCTATTCCAAACAACGCGTTTTTCTGGACCGTTCCAATTCGCCTCGTAATTGTAGGGGTGCGTCTGCGATATTACATTGACCGCGAAAGCAGCAACGGCAAAAATACACATTCGTGCATCAACACGGGCATGCCCGCAGACGGCGTATAAAATTGCGTGCCGATTACACGAAGAGAACCCAGTGTTTTGACTGCGAACATGAAAAATCAGCCGATTACAACACTCCGTCCGGAGGTCCTGACCTCCTTCACGGAGTAACAATGGTGTTATTTTTTCTACAGAAACAACATTTTTCAATTTCTCAGCTTCTTGTATCATGACTGCTTCATGTTCATCTTGTTTGTATCTTCAGTAATAGTAACGACTTAGAAATGTAGGGCATCTACCTTTGACATTTGCGAACTAACTCCACCCCCCAATCCCCCACCCCAACCGATCAGTGCTATGTATACAAATGTCAACTTCCTTTGAAATAGAAGCCAGGTCAGATGAGTGCAGAGTGCTATATTTGAAACCCCTCTGTGTGCGGCCTGGTACTGGGATTAAGGAAATATCAATTCACTGTGTTCAAATATCACTGCCCTGTTTCTAGGTCAATAGAGTTTACACCTTTTTTTTCCATTCCACTTTCATGGTGAAATTTTCTTTTGCTTCTGTCAAGCAACTTTTTTTTGTGGGAGGTGTTTGAAATCTTCGAAATCTTTATTGCGAATTTATTGCAGTAGGTATTTACGACCAATGCGGTTTGCATAGCGAGTAAGTTTACGTAGGGGATCATTAAAATTCACATTAAAATCCATGAGAACTTTTCATGTGGCCACTGACACAAGCCTTGAGAATCCTGCTATCTACTGTGGCCATTGTCCCTTAAGTGGTTCCTATGTACTCTCCAAGCAGAGGTTTGGGTTTTGGGGTGTTTTTAACATGCTTTTAGGCTTTTTTATCAGGGTTTCTTTTTTGCACTGGAATTTTTCTTAGTTGGGTTGGGTTCTATCACCCAACCCAATTTGGGTGAAAGAAAAATTCCAGAGCAAAAAAGAACCCCCGATAAAAAAAGTCTAGAAACACGCCAAAAATAACCCAAAACCCTAACCTCTGCTTGAAGAGTAGTTCCTATGGACAGGAGTGACAGTGGTGTGTTCAAAAGCATTAGGCCTAAAAAATGTTGTGTTTCCTGTTTCAGTCGTGAAAAAATTAGGGTTGGTAGGTAGGGATTGTCTTTTTATTTCTTTTTACTTCACTGATATCTATATAGGCGTCCAACTTACACAACAATACAGTTTAAAATAAAACTTGCATGAGGACACTTCGATTTTCAATGTCAATGTTATAAAGTCAATTGTACAACGTTTTATCACTCAGGTGTCAGATCTTGGAGCTAGAAAAGGTTGATCAGCTCGAAAAATTTAATTTAATTTTTTCCAGCTTATCAACCTGTTTTAGCTCTAAGATCTGACATCTTTATTGTCCCCCAAAAAAGTACAGGGTCGGCAGTTTTTTTAGGATAGGTCGGGAAACAGAGTACAACGTTTTTTTCTAGGCCTCACTGACAAGTAAACCAAAGTTTCAGACAAAAACAGGAACTATACCTGTGGGTGCAGGGGCGGTGGCCACCAGGATTCTGTGCTGCTCTTCCCAGGGCAACTAGGGAGAATTCAACACTTCATCAGATCAAAACAAACAAAAAAAGACAAACACAAAAGAGGCAATACAAAAGGAAGCTATGTTTACATACATATTTTATCTGGTTGTCCTTCACATGGATATATGGATTAACCCAAACATCCTTGAGGCCACACCAATTTAATTTGTTGATTCTCGGATTCGCCTCTTCATCTTTTTCTGATTAAAAAAAAAGATTCTGGTTCTAAATCAACTCAAAAATGCTCATATTTTGCCCCCAACAGTTGTGGAAAGTCCTTTTCTTCCTAGTTGCTACAGTCTATCAATGCAATGGTTTCATTAAAAGTTCAAAATTCATTGTTTGAATATTAACCTAGCCTTTTGTGTTGACTTCATGGGTCCCATCATAGCATTTGCGGCTATAATAGGATGCCCAGACTTGTTTTTATTTTAATTTTTTTTTCTCGCCCTGTCGTTTCATATTTTTTCCCCAAAAAATCAGAGATCCAGCAAATTAAATTGGTGTGGCCTTTAAGTCAAATTGAATTATCCAAAAGTGTCCAATCCTCACCTCCACTCTCTTGTTGGGTGACTGTGCCCTGAGGATACCACACACTCGGCTGTGTTCTTCTGGACTCAGGCCAGTCGTGAAGTCCCCAAAAGTCAACTGGTCCTAAAACAAAAACGTTGTTCAATATCAGAACACTAAAACTGGATTCTCTGGGCTTCAATTGCTGTTGTCTTACTAGACATCAACTAAAAAAATGCTGCCAATATAGACATCAGACATCATAGAAATCAGTGACCTACAGAGATCTCCTTCAAAATAAAGGATTGTTGCCAATTTTCCATACAATAAACTGCATATTCCTTACATTTACATGCACAGTTTTGAACTATTGATAAATTAAAAGTGTTGTGAAATCTGCGAAACACTAAAAAGTACATAAATATAACCTACATACACCTGGTCTGTATATGTTAATCAGGTAAGTACATGTAGAAAGATGCTACCATTTTGTCCCTTGGGACAGGAACATGTAATTAAGTTAGACAATTTTTAAGTACAATGATAAATGATCCATTATTTTAGAACAGACAGGATATACACTTGACTAAACATAACCCAATTCTGTCCATCCTAATATGCCAGCATATTCACCAGTAATTCTCTGGCATGGTTTTAGGCCACACCAAGTAAATTTTATGGATGACGTCCTTTGGAGACCCTAAATCTAATGCGAGAGGGCGAAAAAAAAAACAAGAAGGGCCCTAAAAACAAGATGCCTAGATTAGAAATATTGCACTGCTGACAGGGCCGTCCTGTCAGCAGTGCCGTTTTTGGAACTATTGACAGGATTTTTTTCAGTGCCTTCTTTTTTTCATTTTTGTTTTCATTATTTAACCAGGCACAGGCTTTTGGCGTTACGGGTTTCACGTCAATCTGACGATTTGCGGCACTGTCGTGACTCTTTGGTCATAGTTACAGGAGGCGAAATTTCTTGTTTTTTTTTCTAGGAACAGTCCAAAATCAATGCGCGCGCGGACGTCATCCATAAAATTTACTTGGTGTGGCCTTACCAAGTAAATCTGGCCAGACCAGCAAGAAGTCAAAAGTTCAATCTGGCTCAGTGACCTGGTTTTCGGCTGGAAGATTTGCATAAACATATCACAAATCTCACAGAATAATCTTAAGAATGAAAGATTTAGAAAAATAAAGATTGGCACTACCTAACGAAAAATGGGCAAAATGATCAATAAAATATTATGCATAATGTACCAAGGAGGTTTAAGTTCTTGATTGTACTTTATTCTTTGTTTATTCCTTGATTTGTCCTTTAGTATTGTACAGACTGTTTTCGAATGATAACTCATTTGTCAGTGATTTACATGTACATGTTCCCAGGAACACTAACCCATATATCAAACCTGCAGAACAAAACACAGGGCTCGAAATACTGTTTTTCTGCATACCTGTACTGGTGCAGGTAACACTGAAAATTACATGCACTACTGAGGAATAACAGATACACTTGTGCAGTTGTAATGATGTGAGTTCATTTCAATGCATTCAAAGTAATCAATAAATGTAACACAAAGTAATTCCATGTTTTTTGTATCCATCTTATTCAGGTCAGGGAGGGCATACATCCTCATCATTGTTTCCATTACCAGAACTAGTGCAGGTATATCTCAGACATGTCTGAATAACTGGTTTACCTACAAACACAAACAGGTATTTCTGTCAAAGCTTTTAATTTGTGTGTAAAAACTGCCTTCGGTTCTAATTAGAGTTTATAGGACAATAAACAAACAATTAAAATATAGGTCAATGATCCGCCCACAACAAAAGTTAATTTATCCCATTCCTTTACATGTGCATAAAGGAGCAAACCTAGAAGTAATTGCTAAAGAAAATTGCCTCAATGTCTTTTTCCTTGATTTGTAATGCCATGTGCAGGATGTATTTTCTCCCACTGGTCATGTCTGAGCTAGTTTCATCCAGTTCAATCCAGTCGCTGCATGTCACCAATAAAACGGCTAGGTCAAACGATGGCCTAATGGTCCCCAACAAGGTAATATTGACACCTTTCCTGAAAGGGCTGCTCACAGGTGGTACTCACAGTAAGGTCCGTCGAGGAAAATTACAGCACTAAATATAGTCAACATCTGAACACAAATGACAACTACTTGGAGATTATACACTTCACAAGGCTATAATTTGCATACAGCAGTGAGACACTGTGCACAGGAAACAGACTGTGAAACTTGCAATTTTGTGGATGAAAAAATCCCAGTCCAAATGTTATGAATAACCAATTACTAGTAGTCAGATGCAATCATGCGAACGCTATGTGAAAATGCGAGCTTTTGATGTTAACTCCTGCTAGTCCTGATAGTATTGCAGGACTCAAATTCCAACATGGGGAGAGCTATGTTTATAATTTACTGGATTTTTTTAATCCAGTCCGGAGAATTTGCTTTAACACTAAAAGCAAATTAGTTAAAAAAAATAGATTGATGTATCAACTTTCCAATTATATATGTATTTTCACCATATCAAATTAAGATCTAGTATCATAACTTTCCATAATCAGCAAAGATAAAATTGTGTCAAACAAAATCCAAGTTATGGATTGGTATAACATTGTACAACAACCAGTGGCTTTTCAGATTTGATGTATCAGTGACCATCTGTCATCTTTTTCACTCTTCAGGGCATCGGCCACCAAATTGTCTGATATAAAAACCCACTGGTCATTAAAAAACTACTTATACATGTGCAGTCCCTTTCCAACCTGATGAAATTATCTACAAAATCCGAGCTGATCGAGCAACCTTGAATCATTGCAAAACAGTGCAGCTGGCTACATTTGTGTCCTCTCGTCAAGTGAGCAAGTGTGCAATGGCCTTGGCAGTGAGTCCTAACTCTCAACCCAACAAAAAAGGGGAGGTCAAAGTGCATCCTTCAAAGTATCAGAAACTCAGTACTCTGTACAATTTATGCTGACAGTCCTTGACTCCTTTTCTGAGTCACAGAACATGTGGAAAGACAGCAAGGCTGGGCTTACACATGCAAAGGTACAGTAAGAACAGATATGAAACCATAGTTTGATTGGCAGTCAAAAATTTCTTCATAGTCATATGTGACAATACTTTTAAGTCCCAAACCATTACAAACCAATAACAAACAATTGTGCACTAACACACGTCAATATGCATATAGGATTCTATCCTTTTCAATCGGTTATACTTATTGAAATGTGCATGTACATGAAACATGTTTTTTCTTCACCCACAGAAGTTTTTACATTTCAAACATTTCTACCAATATGCCTGGCAACTAGGGATACATGTAGGTACCTGTATAGAAAATTCTGGTCCAGGTCTGGATCAGGTTCAGAGGATCAGGTCCAGGTCTGGACCTGAACCTGATTATTGTACTGTAGTACTATATATATATTTTGGAGCACGAAAAACAAGTACAGGTCACTCTCACTAGTGCGAACATCTACTGTATCACTCGGTACCAACCTCATGAGTCATAGTCCGCAAACTTTTTTGTTTACCTACTTGAAGCTGAACACAGTTACAGAAAGAGACAAACATGGATTTAGCCTAATCTAGTTTGATTCAGGGTTATTATCTTTACCTGCCATGGCCAGATTATTCAAAGAAATGTACATGATCATCAGGTCCGATGATCCAGTTTTCGCATTTAGGTTTTTTTGGACTCGGTTCCTGAATGTTGTTCCGGTTTAAACTGGTCCGGCTGAACCGGTACCCATCCCTACACATACCTCAAACCTGTCCTTCAATATGTATTGCCTGCCACTTCTCAGATCAAAGCATTATATTAATTAACAAGTCTTCCTGGCAATTATATTTGCACACCTGTAATAATGACCTACTTTACCGACCCAATAGGACACCCATGTGTTCTCATTAGCTGATGATTCAGTGGGGATGTCTTCTGTACTAATCACAATGTACTATTGTCACGTAAAATAACTGCCAATTACATTATTATCATCCTCCAAGGGCGGCATTACATGAGTTTATAACTATTGGCGCTGAGCATACAAATGCACTTACTAAGATACATTATCCAAGGACATTATTGTGTTTTGGTGACAAGAAAATTACCAATGATTTAGTGTGGTATCAACGACCTACATCAAACTATACTGCCTATTGGGGAAAATTGATAACAATCTTATTTGTGAACTCTGGCAAATTAAGATAAATTTCAACAGTGACAAGTAGAACAAAAAAGGCAAGAGACACAGTGCTTACTTTGCACAAAAACTCTGTTTTTACAGAAAGAAAACATGAATATGTTGACAAAATGTTATCTGAAGCTATGCAATTTCTGGAACAGCTGACCAGCAATAGGATATGGCACATTGATGGAAAGTATTATTATGCAAAAACAGATGCAAAAACAAAAAGTGAAAATTGTGGCTACCCTGTCCGACAGTGTCTTATCATCATAAACCATCTATTTCATAAAGAATACATTTTTATAGCATCTTTATAGCTCAAGTTATCGGCAAAGCATGAGAAGTTCCACCCACAGGCATGCACACGCTGTTCCAGTTCCACATAGGAAAGCGGGGTCGTGGGCGTGCATCTAAATGCACGGGTGGGGGGAGGAGCAGCTAGAAATTCTCCAACAATCTCTTCAAGGTTTGTCGTGGATGCCGATTCCGCCTACGAGCCGCCTTATCACCAGATTTCCATAAGAAATGAGATGCTAGTATGTAAACATGCTGAGAAATTTGAGTTTGGGGCAGAAGTGTCGTCCCGTCCCTCTCTTGCTCTCTAGGCTGTCACATGGCAGACATGGCCGCCTTAGCATGCAACCTGCCATGCCGCGTTTCTCAGCCTCACGCAGACGGCGGTTTCCCCGTCTTCACACGACCCGTTCGGCCCCTGTTAAACCCTGGGTACACGTCTAGGAACAAGCTAAGAATCTGCTAAGATGTGATGAACACCCCAGACTTGACACAGACGGGTAAATAGTCGAGCGTGTGACAAAAATAGCCCCAGGAACACGAGAGAGCATTCCTTCCCATATGCTGCTCAGGAGGGCAGTGAGCGCCAAATGGCCTGCATGTAAGAGAGCATAACCGGGCTCACGTTTCCTCTGGAGCTGTACAAACCACACTAAAATGAAGCCAACAATCTCTACAATCGTCTTAAAACGATCATACATCGTTAAAACAAACAGAAAACGTAACTTACCGTCTGAACGCGTGCCATGTTTGCAGGTTAAAGCTTGCTAGTCATGCTTCTCCTAACGCCATCTTGGAAAAATGTGAGGTGCAGAGCGCATGTGCGTGAGGGACGATTCCGAAATATCGCGCCCTGATTGGTCAGTTGGGAAAGTCACCCGGGTGGGCGTGGTCGCAGGTGGCTACAGGTGTTCAAAACAGGTATTCCTTACCTGTCTGAAATATCTTATTTTGCAATGATTATGCATCTGAGATATTGATGTTTATAAAGTCATAATGACGTATAAGTAAGCAAATCACGAAACACGGTCGATGTCGATTTTGTTATTCAGCCCTGTTACCAAACCTATTATAGCTCCTCGAAAGACTGATGTAGGACTAGAGACCTATGATAGGTTTGGTAACCAGGCTATTTGTTATTGACATCCTCTCATCTAGGTTGATTGAGCCAAAACACAAGATTTTCAGACAGAAAGGTGTTCAAAACCAACAGTTGCACCTTTTTATTTATATCGCATTATTGTATGTCTTTAAATTGAATTCTGAAATTGTTGCATTTTCCATCCATGCATGATGAAGAAATGAAAGAAAAGAAAGAAATGAAAAAACAGAATGATCTGCTTGAAGCTCAAGACAGACCTCCCCAAACAAACAAATAAACGAGGTCTTCGTTTCTACTACCAGTATTTCATAATCTTAGCTGAAGATTTTAATTTCAGGGGTTATAAGTGAGTGAGTGAGGTTATAACATGAGTGTTTTGCAGATCATAGTTCACATGCACGAGCGCCCCCTGCCGACAAGGAGATGAGAGTTAGGTAGAAAACGTGGCGCACAGTGACCACGTGACGTCTATCCAATCATGTGACAGAAGCGCTGCCCATTCTGTACTGTGATTGGTCACATGGTTTAAACGAGCCAGGTTTGAAATCATATTTAGTTCAAGGCATCTAACACGTCAGTGCTTTTTTCTTACACAATACGCTAAGACAGCGAAATCTGGTGATAAAGACGCTGTCCATGATTGCTGAAGAACTCTGAAAGTGTATGCCGAGAGAAAGGAGTTTGAAGTAAGTGCTACATTTAGGTAAGTTGCTACTTATGTTTGTGTAGTTGGCTACGGTGGTGCACCCTCCAGAAAAAAGAAAATGACAGCCTTTCTCCTCCGCCAAAAAAGTAACAAATCTACATTAAATCATCCAAGATGTACGATTGGACACGTAGTTTTTAACACTACAATGTTCTACAGACCAAACAGCAGGAGCTGAGCTTTCTGATGCTATAATTTTGTCCTGTTTTAGTACAAGACGTTTAGCAAAAGTTTAGCCCCCTCCCCACACCATACATTAATTTGCCCTGAAAAAAATTATTCATGATGAAAAGACTGAGAGTGAGTGAGACTTTATTTTCTCATAGATCCTACAAATTCAAACAAATCTAGATACAAGTGTTGTTAACCACATACATTTTTATTTCAATCATGACATTATACTTTCATACAACTTTCAGTGGAAGTACTGTAGACCACCATCTTGCATTTTTTTTCAGACAGCAACTGGTTTCTTCTTACTGAGAAGTTCATCATTAATAACAGACAGCTTCATGGATGTTTTACACTTTATCCAGTTGTCGCTGCAGGTTCTAGAGTGTTGCCCTGAAGCTGTCCGTCCCACCATGCCTGAGGACAAGGCTATCCCCGTACGTGTGGCGCTGAGATGTCGGCCCCTGCTGCCCAAAGAGACCATGGAGGGGTGTCAGACATGCCTGCAGTTTGTCCCCGGAGAGCCACAGGTTTGTATCATAGATAGGCTGGAACCCAGTCTTGTTTCAAGCTTTTTTTTTTCTATATTAGACTCCACTCCCAATACGGCAATAGTCAACAAGAATGGGTGGCCATGCCATACTTAATTATGCTAATAAATTACTAATGGTATACAGACCTAGCCCCAGAGAGACACAGGTTTGTATGATAGCATGGGACCCAGTCTCGTTGGGCTTTAGTCTGCTTCCAATATATTGAAATGTCGTCATTATGGTGACTGCTGTGAACTCAACCACATGTCAGGGCCAAAGATATTTATATAGAGCTAAAATTTTAAGATTGCAGAATTAAACATAAACACCTTGGTAATTTAACAAGCTAAAGATTACACTGGTATGAAATTAAGAAACTCATGATAAAAGTCATATTGCAGACAACAAAATTAATACAGTGCAAACGAAGAAAGATACACAAAAGAGAATTGCCTAATTGTGTGATATGGACATGTTTTCCTCCATCAGGTTCTAGTGCTGGGTACAGACAAAGCTTTTACCTATGACTACTGCTACAGTATGGACACCATGCAAGAGCAGGTCTTCGAGGAGGCTGTTTTACCACTTTTAGATGGCTTCTTTAAAGGTAATTTGCTTTCCTGAGAATCACAATAGTTCTTCACATTGCCACCCATATTTACTGCAACATAATGTGTATTTTATATTTTATATTTTATAAGTTATATTTTAAACAAGTCACTGACAAAAGATACTGGTTGGTACCTGAAACGTCGGACTGTTGTCACTTCATTGTGCTTTGACTTTTGAGTAATTGTTACCTTGGTATAACGCTAAAACTAAATGCTAGAAGCATGAAACATTGTACATATACATACAAAGCAATGAAATTTCTGCTCCCAGCTAATACAGTGTTATCTCAAATCTTTTTCCAAGGTTACAATGCCACAGTGTTAGCCTATGGGCAGACTGGCTCAGGTAAGACCCACACCATGGGTGGAGCCTACAGTTCCAGTATAGAGGATGAGTCCGTAGTGGGGATCATTCCCAGGGTCATTCAACACATCTTCAAGGGCATCCAGGAGAGAGACAAGTCTGACTTCATCATCAAGGTCTCTTACCTGGAGGTAAGTGTACTTTGTCAGTGTACAAAATACTTTTTTGAACCCAGTTGCCCAGTGGGCAACCTACGGCAAAAAAGTAGGTCGCCCACCCAGTAACAGCCTTTAGTAACTTAATCGATACTAGTAATAGCCATTAATACCTAAAATTAAGGGGGGGGGCATTCGTAAATCCAGGTAGCACACTGGGCTACCTTGGTTCAAAAATAGGTTGCCCCAAGTAAAATTTGGTTGCCCGGGGCAACTGGGCAACCAGGTATTTTGCATGCTGTTTGTATATCTTTGATACCTTGGCCATGATTATGTTTACCGAAGGAAAACATGTTGTTTTCGCCTTGTTTCCTCTTCTCCTTCTCCAAACAAATTAGGTCAATGACCTGAACCAGGCATCCGTCACCATGGTAACTAGTGTTGGGTTACATCATGTTGCAATTTTATGGCAGGAGGGATTTAGGGTACAGTCACCATATATATGAATGTGTTTGAGTAAGAATTGAGAGCGCAGACCATATGCAAAGGTAAATATTTGGTGGTTTGTGTGTCTGTTATGTGTTTGCCTGTGCTTTAACTTGGTAAATTCTTCTTGTTGACAGCTGTATAACGAGGAGATAATAGATCTGCTGAGTAAAGAGAAGGAGAACATCGTCATCAGAGACACCACGTCTGGAGGCATCTCAGTAAGTTCTCACTCCTCAGGGACAGACTAGGAAACAACACAAACACTGAAATCCCAAGCTGTTTTGGAAAAAAAGCAGAAACACACTGTTGTTCTAGAGTAAATTTGTAGTTTATCATCTTGGTTGTACACTAATTATAAGTGAAAAGTATGATCATAAGAATTAAAAAATTAAGTACACTAAGTGACAAGTAATGCTTCTACAAGGATCCGGACAAGCTCGTATATCAGTCAGGTGTCTCCCCAGAAGTTCTTATTGGAGAGGTGGTCCTAATCGTTTGATGAAAAAGAAGCAAATTTGCATGAAAGTACTAAGAGAAAACCCTAAATTTTAATATTTTGGGAGAGGTGCTAGGATTTTGGGAGAGGGGAGCACCCTAAGGCTTGCTTCATTGCTTGGGGAGAGTCAATTAGATCATGGAGCTAGGAAAGAGACTTTAACTCCATGATTAGATAAGTAACTTTTTTATCCCCCACTGTTGCGCCACCTATCAACAGATAACGGGACTGCAGGAGATCACCACACAGACAGGTAAGGAGTTGGTTGGCTGTCTGGAGCAGGGGAACGTCCACCGTACCACGGCTGCCACCGCCATGAACGCCACGTCCAGCCGATCCCACGCCATCTTTACCATCAGCATGGAGCAGCGTAAAAAGGACGACAAGTACGACCAGTTTTTTGTCCTTGGACATTTTAAGCCAAAAAGTGATCAAGGTCCTAACAGTTCTATCTAACCGATTCTGTTATTCTTATCTTAAAACAGTGCTGATTACTGCCTGTCAAAGTTCCATCTTGTGGACTTGGCTGGATCTGAACGGGCCAAGAAAACGAAAGCAGAGGGCGACAGATTTAAGGAAGGTACGTGAGACTGAATTTGTAGTTACTGGATGGAATTCTTTAACTAATAAAATAATCATATACATTTGTACATGAATCATAGGTTTAGATGATAGACCCAACCATATTCTTCAGACAAACAGAAGCAAATCATATTTTTTCTCTAAATTAAAAGTCTAATGTTCATTGTAAACAAGACATTAACAAATCAACTGGTTAACAGATTTCTGTAATTCACTTTATGTTAAGGGTAGCAAACTTTCATGGTCTGAGAAAAATTGACATGTTCACGGAACTATATGTTCACGGTGGCAACTGCTGCAGGAAAAAAAGGTCACAAATTATTTCTCAACAATATGATAAGTTTGCAGTACAGAAGTGACCATGAAAACCGTGAACCGTGTACCGTGGAAAAATCAGGAATTACAGTACTATTAATATTGACCTCTTCCAGGAGTGAGCATCAACAAAGGTCTGCTGTCCCTGGGAAATGTGATCAGTGCCCTGGGAGACGAGAGTCGAGGACAGAAACATGTCCCCTACAGGGACTCCAAACTCACCAGGCTGCTGCAAGGTAGGGAGAGAACTCATGCCATGTTTATCACTCAAAATCATTCAATCATTTATGTGAAAAAGCTATGTTAGTTTTGAACTCCAGTGAATTTTTTAATCGAAAACTCATGGCTATTGCAAAATTTGTCAAGTGATTTTCCTTAATTATGTTTACCGAAGGAAAACATTGTTTTTGCTCAGTTTCTTCTTCTTCCGTTCCAAACACTGACCTGGTCAGTGACCTGAACCAGACCATCTGTCACCATGGTAACTGGTGTTGGGTTACATAATGTTGCAGTTTTATAGTAGGAGGGATTTAGACTCCTGTCACCATATATGTGAATGTGTTTGAGTAAGAATTAACAGAGCAGACCATATGCGAAGGTTAACATAATGCATTTGCTTTGCAAATGTTACCTTAAAGTTTCTAGTTAAATGTTCTTTCACCTAAAGTTGATTCAGAATCTAAAAAAAAAGAGGACTTTGTGTACATCCGTTTTTCTTGTCCGACCCCTTCTAACATGCATAGATATCAGACTAAAATTTGGTTTGTTTCTACAACAGACTCCCTGGGAGGTAACAGCCATACTGTGATGATTGCCTGTGTGAGTCCTGCTGACTCTAACCTGGAGGAGACCATCAACACCCTACGTTACGCAGACCGGGCCAGGAAGATCAAGAACAAACCAATTGTCAACAGGGACCCACAGACCGCAGAGCTGCTCAGACTGAAACAAATGGTAACGTAACATGTTTGTTAGGAATATACATCAATATTGGACAGTATACTGTTGCAACTGAGTCCAGGCATTTGTTTTTCCTAACATATCACCTTTACAGACACATGGTGGAACATGGTTGTGTTACATTGAACAATTAACACCACCTAATATATAAGCCCTGCATATTTTTAGTGTTTGAATTCATTCAATACAAATGCTGTGAAAAAAAGCTTGGTCTATAGTTAGAATGAAGAATAGATGCATCTTAATTTATCTAAAATGCTGACTGGTCGATTTTGTTTTTCTTCTTCTGCAGGTACAACAACTACAGATCCAACTGATGCAAGCACAGGGAGGGGTCATTTCAACTGGGTAAGTAGGGATGCCTTTTCTGTCATCATCACCCCAGTAATACATTGTACATGTAACACTATAAGTACAATTCTGATAGCTTCATCCTTAACTCTACCCAGATAAAGTACATGTAGTTGCTCCATGCCAACATATGTACAGAGATGCTAACATGTCTTTTAAATGTTGTTCCATAGGACTGCTGGTATCAACACTGGGGATGTGCAGAAATATGTTGCAAAAGCTAAAACATTAGAGGTAATGTCACTACACTTTAAAATACAATGTACATGAAGTTAATTTTTTTTTTCTTTCCATGGCATTCCCTGTATTATCCAAAACAAATAGCATACAGCAAATTCTCAAAGCAAAATAATATCCTGTTGCTTGAGTAACTGCTTTTGTTTAACTTTCACCGACGCAAATTCTTCTTCTTTGTCACGTTGTTTAGTAGTAGTAGTATTTATTTGTTTATATCTGTTTACAGGAAGAGAACAGGAAGTTGACGAGTGAACTCCACTCGGCTGTGGAGCAGTCTACTCAGATGTGTGAGAAAGCCATCATGGTGAGTTCAGTCAGACTCAGAGATCCTGTTTCAGTCTAGGCTAAGTCAATGTAGATAGGCCCTAGGAAAATTAATGTTGTTTCCAGTTTCAGTCTTGTTGTTCTCATTTATGTCAGACTCTCTTCTTTCTATCAGGCTGAGATGGTTTGTGACAAACTGAAAACGAAGGTCCTGGAACTCAAGGAGCATGATGGGTAAGTGTACCTGTCTATTTTCAAGACAGTAACCCGTCAAGCAATCAATAGTAGTCTCCAAGCAGAGGTTTGGGTAAGGGTTTTTTTATCGGGGTTTCTCTTTTGCACTGAATTTTTTTTCGTGGGAAAACAATCCAGTGCAAAAGAGAAACCCCAATAAAAAAGCCTAAAAACACGCTAAAAATAACCCCAAACCCAAACCTCTGCTTGGAGAGTAATCAACAGTACCAGTAAGACACAGTATCCAACAGTTTCCCGTGGGGTTCAGTCATTATAGCTTTGTTGTTGTTGTTGTTGTTGTTGTTGAGTTACATGTTGGACTTGTTTGTATCCAGGTGCACAGCAGACCTGGGACAGCTGATGTCAGACGTAGACAGGGAGGAGGTGAAGACAACAATAGACTGTGTGACAGAACTGCAGATCAGGATCAAGGAACTGGAGGTTGGTGTGTCTGTAAATGTAGCTTCACATGTAAATTCATTTTGAGAGATAGCTGCACTGGTTTGCCTGAAGTCTTGATAGCTCAGCTTGATAGTCCACTTGACCATGTTGTTGTTGTTCATTTATTTCCAGACTGAACTTGCCTCTCCTGGGTTCCTCTACACTGATGGGGAGGCTGACAGTGGGGAGGTGAGTGCTGGTGATGGTTACAGTACCCGATTGAGAGAACTTTTGTCTCTACCATACAGTACTACTAGTATGTCTTCAGTTGAATGTATTTTTACATGGTTCGTGTACTCAAAACTAAAAAATCATGCAACAATTGTGGCTGGTGATGACTTTAGAAGTGACTTTGTTTCTAAAAGAAATATCTACATGTAGATTTGGATATCTTGTCAATGTAAAGGTTGATAGGTTGACTGATAGATCTATATATATATATATTTGTTTGTTTATTTGTTTATTGGTATTTTCCACAAAGTGAAAGGAGGGCAAAACAGGTGCATATGCACCTTTACAAGTTGCCCTCCCCTATACAAAAAAAAAACAATGTATGTGTGAAAACATGTACACAGTCAATTACGGCAATATATAAAGATACACAAAACAGTCAATAACCAAATATGTCTCAACAAGACTTCGTGGGGTCTTAAGGCAATGCAAGAGCTGCACCCACAAGAAGTGGTCAAGTACACGGGAGGTCAAGACTGTAATGTGTGTTAAATCTGTCGTAAATGGCCTTGAGTAGTTTGTATTTAAATGATTATGTGTGACTTCTCCAGAATGGTGAGACGTCGTCCATGGACAGTGATGAGTTCTCCACGGAGCACGCTCTACGCCAGGCTCAGATGAACAAGCAGCTGGCGGAGCTGAACAAGGCCCTGCAGATGAAACAGGAGCTAGCCAGTAAGATGAGTCAGAACGACAACTGTATGGAGGAAGTCAGGTCCGAGTACGAGGTAAGGTCTCATGAAATGGTCCTCCCTGGCATGGAAAATACCTGGCAGGAACCAGTGTTTTGTTTGTTTTGCAAAACCGGTAAACCACCTTTTTAGGCGTAACACACCAGTTTTGTATACATGTATGTAAGTACAAGCTGTGTAAGACTGGAATGTAAGGTTTGAACCACTCACAGCGGGAAGGACCCCTACTCTTTTCCATAAGTGCGGTGGGTTCTTTAAGATGTGTGGGACGTGGCTCTCCCAAACATGGGACTGTCATTTGACGTCCTATCTGAGGGTAGGTACTCATTTGTGAGGAAAGTCATCTAAAGTGCCTTTCCCAAGGACATAAGATCGGGTAGAAATGACAACCTAGCTTCAATTATAAAGGGACATGCTCTTGGATGGGGTGACAGCTGGAGGTCACATGTTTGAGGAGAGCCACACCTTGAGCACGTTACAGTAGATATCCCGCCGCCAAAAAGAGGAAGGGTCCATTCCGGTGTGGGTGAAAATGCAGAAAGGTGTGATTATTCTTTTTTCTCTTCCTTACCCATCAGGCCAATGTGAAGAAGCTTGAGGATGAGGTGAGCATTCTGCTGAAAGAGAAGGAAGAACTCTGCTCCATGCTACAGGCTGCCAAGAGTAACAACTCTCTCAAGTAAGAACTGTTATGTTTCCTCTTGTGGACAGAACAAGTGGCTGTCTTCAGATATGCTTTGGACAAGCTTTGTGCCATTGAATGCTTAGCCTAAACATGTTACTAGTATATGTAGTAACATGTTTTTATGTTTACCAAAGGAAAACATACTGTCTTTGCTCAGTTTCCTCTTCTTCAAACAAACAAGGTGAATGACCTGAACCAGATGCCTATCACCATGGTAACTAGTGTTGGGTTACATCATGTTGCAATTTTATAGCAGGAGGGATTTAAACTCCTGTCACCATATGAATGTGTTTGAGTAAGAATTAACAGAGGACCATATGCCAAGGTAAACATTATGCATTTGCTTTGCAAATGTAACCTTTCTACTTTTTTTCTATAATTGAGAATAAAAAATAGGAACTAATTGTTTCGTTGTGGTTTTTTGTCGAAGGGTTTCTGAACAGCGGCGCAAACGTGTGAAGGAACTGGAGACCCAGATCGGAGTGTTAAAACGGAAAATCACCGACCATAACAAGATGGTCAAACTCAAGGAGCAGAGTGACAAGACATGTTCCAAACTCAACAAGGAAATACAGGTATCCTATAGTTAGCTTATTAATTATTATAGTGATAAGTTCAAAAACTACAGAATGTGTTTAACAGAAAATGTCCAGTTTCTGGGTAATTGCTGCTCAACATAACAAACTTTGAAATAATCTCTCATTGGTTCTTTGAAAGCTTCAAGAAAACCACCAGTATCAGTGATCTCTCATTGGTCAATCAGAGTACACAGCTGTCTCTCATTGGTTATCACAAAAATCATGTTTCTGATTGGTTCATTTGAAATAGCCTTCATCTCTCATTGGCTGAGTTCCTGTTCCTCCATTTCAGTCCATCAAGCAGCAGCGGGTGAAGCTGATGAAGCAGCTGAAGGAGGAGGCAGAGAAGTTCCGGCGCTGGAGACAGGAGAAGGAGAAGGAAGTCATACAGCTCAAACAGAAGGTGATACCTTCGAATTCATCTTCCTGTTTTCATACATGTAGGATCTATGCTTTCAATTCACAGATTCTTTCAACTGTGCTGCAGTTCTAGAGCTTTTTACTGACGCTAGAATTGTTTTACTGTAGGACCGTAAGAGGCAGTTCAAATTGGTGAAGCTGGAGAGAGACTACGAGAAGTCACAAGCTGTGCTCAGGAGGAAAACTGAGGAGGTGAGGGTTAGAAGCTGGGTAAAAATCCGGGGAATTTGAAAGCTGTTCCTTGTTGGGGCTGGTAATTAAAGCCATGACTACTCCTTGTACACTTTTCAGTGTCCATCTGGCTACTAAATTAGTTGTATACCTTCATTTCTTCTCACTTTATGTTGAATTGTGGAAAGAGTGCATTCGAAGAAGAAATTGTCCTTGGTAACCAATGGTCCAGAGGCAGACACAGAGTACTAGTCTTCATTTGAAACCATTTGCTTTTCATACCACGAGGACACCTGGCACTTTTTGTCCAAACTGCAGGGGCAGTTGTCAGAAGTGAAATTTGCGGACCCTTGTTTTACAGGCAGCGGCTGCACAACGTAGACTTAAAGATGCTCTCTCCAAGCAAAAGGAAGCAGCCCAGAAGAGACAACAGACTGCAGATAAGACAGACTACAAAGGCCTGGGCACTAGAGTCAGGGTATGTAGGTGGACGTCTGAAAAGTCTCATCTTGTTTTTCTGTGAATGATGATTGCATGATGATGAAGAGAGCTCATTCACAGGAAGTGTTGGGCAAAATAAAGGGTTGCTGTTAGGTGTGACCCAGTGTGCTTGGTTAATAAAACTGTCAGCCACTATTGTTAAAACATTATACAGTACTTCATTTCAAGCATTACACCTCATCTGAAGCTTAAATTACACAGTGACTTCAACTTGCTTTATTCAAGGATTTACAACGTTAAGGGCTCTAAGATATTCAGCCCAGAAAAAAGTTATAGACGTTGGTCAGTTTTGACTGCATATCAGCTGTATTAATGAAAATTGAATAAAACAAGATGTACATGTTTGAGACTGGAGTTTCCTATACTGTCCTGTGTTGCTGCAGTCCTGGCTTGGTGAGGAGTTGGAGTTCCTGGTGAGTGTTGGTGAGGCCAGAAGACACCTGGACAGTCTACTCATGGACCGTAGGGCCTACTCCCTGCAGGTAACACACCTATGCTTGCATTGTAGCTAACTGGGATAGAAGTTTCTAAGTTCTAGCATTTCACAGTTGATTAAAAAAAATTCATCCCTGGTGAAATTTTACTGTCATCACTTCATTTCAAAGAACTGAAATATTTCCAATCTTTTCAATGGTAAAGTCTGCCATCTCTCACTAAATTGTTGAATAGCATCAATTTCAAAGTGAACTAATTACATGATTGATGTAGATGATACATGTAGATACTGTAATTCACTTCATGTTTACAGTATGAAAATTTCATGAGAAGACAAATGGACATGTTCACACAGAACTATATATTCATGGTGGCAACATGTGCAGGAAAAAGGAAGTCCAGGAATTATTTGTTTACTGTAGTAAAAAGTTCACGGTACTGAAGTGACAGTGACAACAGTGAACCTAACAGTACCGTGAGAATATCAGGAATTACAGTAATCCCTTCACATACCCCTACCTGCCCCACAGCTGCAGCAGCTGCGTCAGAAGCTGGAGGAGAGCCAGCCGCCCAGGAAGCGGTCGCGCTCGGGGTCGGAGAGCGAGGGGGAGGGGGGCCAGGCCTGGAGGGAACAGATCCACCAGCAGGTGGAGCAGCTGGAGCAGGACATCCAGTGCAGGTGGGGAATTCATTACTGCCACATGCAGGATACTTAACAGTCTGAGGGTGTAAGTGTCATTGAGAAAATTCTACCCAAAACCTGATGCTAAAAAATAAATTTTACACAGGGAGACAGTCCCAGATACATACAACATGATGCACCAAACTTGAATTTCCCAAGAACTATTGTAGAGTGGAACTCGTTGCCACCAAGCACAGTTGAGGCAACATCACTAGAAAGCTTTAAACAACTCCTGCAATTAAATGTGCAAGATTGAGTGTAACAAGTCCTTCGGTGTAATATAGCTAGCTGCCGCATGCCTGCGAAGATTGTGTGTTACGCCGAAGGGCGGTTATGCCGGCTATACCAATACAGATACAGAAATCTGTAATATATTAATGTACAACTACATGTACATGTACATGTTCAATAGGTACATTGCTGTAAACCATCATATCTACATTAATATTGTAACACCACACAAGACACTGCCCACAGCTATAACAGCAGAGTACAATTACTATGGCTTGAGCTGGAAGGATGCCTACTTCTACTATTTACTAGACTAATACACCGGACCCTATCCCACAGGAATGCTCAGATTGCAGACCTGCAGCAGAAGCTGGTGGATGCAGATGTAGAGGAGAAGGCAAAGTGCCGCTGGGAGAACATGCGCTCCCTGGTGGAGGCTAAGTGTGGGCTCAAGTGGCTCTTAGACAAGGTATACTGTCTACATGTTTATTTAGCATCCTGCCAGAAAGTTGAATGACATTGTAAGTAGAATGTGTGTTCAAGTACTAGTGCTAGTATCCCTGCCTTTGGACCACAAGGCTAGAGCATTTGACTACAAGCAGTCTTTAGCATGCATTCCTATATGTCCTAGCTTTATTCTACTCGTCCGTAGAGCTTTGGGAATTAACCTGGCACAGTGAACCTCTAAATACCTACTCGAGTAAGTCTATATGTACATGTATGTACATAGTATGTATCCTTGTCAGTGTTAAAAATACCCACCTACTAGGGGTTCAAAATTGTTTGATAGCTGCTGTTGTGTTTACCACTGACTCTACTGTATAATATATGTGGGATACTTTTGCATGTATTTTTCAAATTGCATATAAAATGTTTGTCAACATGCAATTTTGTACATGCCATGGATTTAGATCCTGACTTTTGAATTTGAGTGTGCATTTGCAGAAAGTATTTCGAATTGCAGAACAAACTTTTGACCTGCAATATTGCAGAACACTGCAAAAAAGTATTTCTACCACTGCTTGTCATCATCATGATTGACAACTCTGCTGATAAGGATTCCATTGATATCTTGTTCCCCCCACACATAGCTGGTGGAGTCTCAGATCAACGCCAGCACGGCGGACGGGAAGGTCCAGGAGCTGCACACCAACCTGAATGAGACGGTGCTGGAGATGCGCCGGTACAGGTCAGAGGTCGACGACCTGAGGAACCAACACGAGGAGGAGAAGACCACCCTGCAGAGGCAGCACGAGGACAAGGTCTGGACTTTTTTTAAAGATCAGGATCAATTTTACAAGCCTAGTTATGGTCTTTTTGGTCATGTTGTTCCTTCTACTGTACATGTACATTGTGTCTTTGTTCGACGATACATAACACTGTTTCCTTCAAGTTGTGACAAGCATCAACATTCTTTTATGGAAAATTGACTTTGAGACATCAAGACCACATGGTCTTACTAGTAGTCTAATAGAAACTTTGGTACATGTATTTCTATTGACTATTATTGTATCATTCTAAGGATCTAAAGATTTTACATGTACATGTACATTGTAAGTCAACAGCAAATTGATATGCACAAGCCAGAGTACTACATGTATGTAGATGCCTAACATACATATATCATACACAGAACAGATGAATTTTCAAGCTTGCATCCTGCTAACCCGTCAGTTTGACATGTCCCTGTCCAGATCCTGTACCTGCTGCGACAGATGCCCAGTTCCCGCAGCGGCAGCACCGCAGGAACTGCAGAGGGTACCAGCCAAAGGGAGACAGAGCTGCTGGACAAACTGGAGTTCCAGGTGGGTGTGGCAATGATATTATGGTGACGAGATGTTGGGTGCATGTACCAATGTACATGCACCCAACATGTTCATCTTCAATTCTTTCTCTGCTTTTGTTATCCTTTTTTTACACTGAAGTAGCTGTTTGGCTACAAATGCCTTAATGGTTATGTGGCAGTAGTGCTAGTTAACAGTTTAAGTTTTGTTCCATGGCAGTCTGAAAAGATGTGTTTCGTCTTGGTTTGTGTTCCAGGAGAAACAGATAGCAGACCTGAGCCACATGCATGAACAACTAGAGGACATGCGCAAGGAGAATGAAAGCCTGAGGAAGGTAAGTAGTGGAAGAACCTGCACTTTGCATCGTAACAGTTGACCATAGTCTGTATAAATGGATTTGATCGTGTAACCTGTAGGTGAAAGAAATGTAAGAACAGCTTTTTTTAATGATAAATTGTACTTGTGCCTACAGCAAGTGACCCTTGCCAGCTACAAGGGGAAGAAACTCTCCCTGATGCCTGAGATCAACATGTCAGCTGTCCCAGAGGCTACAAAGAAAGCAAAGGTGAACCTTCTCATCTCTCCATTCTCAGTAGCTAACCTTGAATTTAGTGTAAAGATAACTTTCACTTCAAGCCCCTCATCATTAATTGAAAGAGAAAATGCTACATTTTGAGAGGGAAACTAACTGTTACTTGTAGCCATGCGGATCTAGAAGTTGGCAGATCAGAATGCTGTCTGACCTCCTAAATTTCACTAAGATTTGCAGCTCCGATTTGTCGGTGTATAAACTTGTTTACACTCTAAGAGAAGAGAAACATTTCAGGAAGCTAAATTTAAAGTGAGGTTGATATCCTGACTCCTTATCAGGCCTCGAAATTAACTTCTCTTCCTATTGTCCCAGCACTGTCCCAAAAATTAATTTCAATTGTCCCGAAGTGAGGATGAACTGTCCCAACCCCTTTTTTGAGAAGTATTACACTTGAAGTGAACTGCTTACGTTCACTCCCAGGTGTACAGGCTTTTAGCTAGGGGGTGTCTAGGGTGTCTTTTGGACGCCCTGTACTGAAAATATTAAGAAATTGGACGCCCTACTTTTTGGTAGGACACCCTAAAGACACCCTATTTTTTCCACTCCCAATCCCTGCCATGCACACATACCCCCCTTCAGCCTTACTATAAATACAAAAATGATGGTTTACTGGAGGAAAAAAACTCAAATTTGCACCTCAAAATGCAGAAAGTAGTGTTTGAGAGCATTGTGAATTTCAAAAAAGCCCCCCTAAAAAGCTTGCGCACCGTGCGTCTTCACTGTGGATAGCATACAATAAAAAAAATGGACACCCACCAAAAAAATTCTACCTAAAAGCCTGCAGGTGTACTATAATAGGCTTATTGCAGAGTAGACAGGAAATTCAGGGGGACTTTTCTGGATCCAAAAGCCGGGACATGTGCCTGATTAACAAAACAAGGGCTTATATAATTCTGATGTTGATTATTTTTCTATTGTCTCAAAAATGTCCCAAAATGTCTTAGTTGTCCCGGCCTAAAGTTAAGTGGCCATTGGACCACCTTTAATTTTGAGCCCTGCTTATCTCTCCTGGTATTTCAGCCCAAAGCCAAGAACACCAAGCGCAGGACCATGACCCTGGAAGCGGCACCAGTGCAGCACTACTCCCTGGAGGAGATCCTGAGCAGCGAGGAGAGCGATGTCGACTTCTCCGACGACGTGGAGGCCGACCCGGACTGGCGGGCCACGCCGCTCGCCAAACAGCTGGCCAAGAGGCGCAGACAGAGGGTCAGGGACGGTGGAGCTGCCAAGCCCAAGGTTTCTGGGGTCTTCGTCTTTTTGTCCTTAGAGTTAGGAAAACTGTTTCAGAGTTTGCTTTAAAGATCCTAAAAAGCTTCAATGAATGCCGTGGAAGGCCAAGCAGCAAAGAGTCATGAAGTATCTTGAAGTTTATTTCGGGTTTTGATATTAGGAAAATGCTGATGTGTGTTCAAATGAGACTCTACTACATGTACTTGGAGACTTGCACAAGGAAAGCATTTTTAGCTCTAGGGAGCTCCTAAGTCAGGTTGATACTTTTGTATGTGACACATTTTTCTTTTGCGTCTTAATTTCAGCCGCGTCTCCAGACATTCTCAATAGGAACCAGCGACAGTGACTCCCTTCCAGCCTCGGACAAGCGGGAAAGTTCCGAGTACGAGGACTGCTTCTCCGAGGGCATCAAAACCCTCCAGAGAAAGGAATCCAAAAGTAAAGTGGGAGACGAAAACAAGGAACTCAAGCCACCAAGGAAACCAAGGGCCAAGAAAAGCTCCACCTCTAATGCCAAGAAGCGGAGCAGTGACAGCCTTGCCCCTGACGACAGCTCCGAAAATCCCCTGTTTGCAAAGAAAGACAATACAGAGTTGGGTAAAGGTGGGGAGAAGAAGAAAAGGAAGCTGCTCAGAACCACTTCAGAAAATGGCTTCTTTGGCCCACTTGTCTGAACTATGCCATGTCCTTAATGCTGCTACCAGCTAATCTCTGTATCTGTGTTGTACTGCCAAATCTCTAAAGAAGCATGGGACTCAATGTTTGATTCCCTTACAATAAAGGAATGGATGATGATATAAATGATAATAAGATACATTTAGGTGAGATGTGAGTGCAAGGAAAGGCTAAGAAATGAGACCTCGGTACTAAACATTTTAACGGACCAGTACTATTCAGTACTCATATTCTTTGTGACATGCTCTAGCTACTGTTAGAAGGCATTTTGGTCCAGTCTTTTATTAGTTGTACCTAAATGAGATATCTACAGCCTTATTTCTTTAAAACACATTCTTTGAATGTTTTCTCACCATGCTGCACTAATACCTTTCATGTACGCACCATTTTTTTATGTTTTGGGGATCGACAGTGCATAACTGTTTCTCTGTATATATTTCTGCAATCATTGACCTCTTTGATATGAGTTCTGAATTTTATCACAGAACCCTTGTAGAGACACAGAAGTAACAGCTATTATTGGCAAGCAAAGCCAAAGGTTATGGACCACATGGTAGTTTGAAAATACTGTAACCTATGCATTTGTTTTCAAATTATCAGAATTATGATTCCTTTTATATGAGAGCATCACTGTGCCTAATATTATGTCTTGTCTAAATGCCCTTATTGACTTTGAAGGGAGACATAATTCTAATTAGATAAATCATTAGTTAAGTATTAAGCCAGTACTAAAAACATTTTATTAGGTTGTGTGTTTTATGAAATGAATAAAGACTACTGTAGATTTACGTGGTTCTCTTTTCTGATTTATTGTTTACTCGCGACATACGTACACTGCAAAACATTTGTACATCAACTCTTCCAAAAGATGTCATGGCAATCTCTTGTATGTGAGCCCAGCAAAATGCATAGTGTCTTAACTTGATAGGCATATTTGGCCACAGCAAGTAATTTTTGCCTGATTTTATTATTACAACAGTTAAACTTAGCATAATTTTAACCTTGAATGTTAAATATTTCTTGTTTACAACTTTGATGATGTGAACATTTGAAAATGTAGGAATCATGTTTTTTTTGGGCCCGCCTTGTTTTTTTTCTCCCTGTCGCATTACATTTGGAGTCTGCGGAGGGCGTCATCCATAAAACTTGATATATGTTGTGCTGTGGCTACTAGTAGTATATAAAGATCTATATAATTAAACGCAGGCCTGTATAAACGCTACCGTAACGCGAACCTCCTATGAAAGGATAATAGAACCTTCCATTGCGCAAAGGCTTGTGGGAAGCTAAAAATGGCGGCAAATAGTAGTTTCGGAAGGTTGTTTTTAGTTTCGGAACCGTAGTTTTTCACACCTTTTCTTCACATTTTGGCAACGACCATACAGCTGAAGCTTCCCTTTGCCCAATGAGGTACACCGCAGCCATGCCAAGTGATCGGTAAGTACACTAAAAAAACTGTTTTAGCCGCGAAAGCTTGAGCTAGAAACGTCGGGATTTTTTTGCAGCTCTGTATGATGCGCAACCTCACCGTTATTTTAGGCTCACCAATTTGCATGTATGTCCAGAGTAGTAGTCGATCTTTGTTTCTTCATGGAGGTAGAAGAGAGACTACCTCCATGGTTTCTTCTACAACGTTTAAGAACTATATATGTTCCAGGCACACCTGAGATGGGCTAGAAATATTGCTGAAGTGGGAGTACACAAACTATTCAAATTTTGGCTGCTAGTTTGATCAGCGTCACTCCTACCTCCCCCCCCCCGTATCAAATTTTATGAAAATAATTTGGGTCGATTTGTTGCATGATTGGGTGGCACTTTGGGGCCGAGACTGTGCTACTGGAACGATGCTATCCGTAACACAAAAGCAAGGCGGGGGCATGTGACGCCAAGGAGGTGCAGATACAGAGACGTAGACTTACCTTTGCAACGTTTAGTTACCATCAACTTGCAACACTTTATCTGGGCACCCATTAGCCGTGGCGACTCTTGATTCGGGCTTACATTGCATTACCCTCAGACAAGAGTCGTGGAAAGATCCATTGGCAGAACTGCACATTTCCCGTTGGCTGCACGATGCTCCGTTTTTGACCCGGTTTTTTGCTGTCCCGAGCTTCCCTACAATATAACTCCACAATTGGCCGGGTTGCCGATGTTTAGATCAGCCTAAATATTCCACAGCGCGACAGAAAAGTAGTAAAATAGCTGGTCGGCACAAGTTGGCCGCCATCTTGGATATAGTCGGGAATGTCCGCTACCGCCGTCGGGAACGCTCGGTAGCCTTTCCGGTTATAATCGGAGAGCTTTCGGTCGCACTTCGGTAATCGTGACGCTACCGAGCGTTCCCGACGGCGGTAGCGGACATTCCCGACTATATCCAAGATGGCGGCCAACTTGTGCCGACTAGCTATTTTACTACTTTTCTGTCGCGCTGTGGAATATTTAGGCTGATCTAAACATCGGCAACCCGGCCAATTGTGGAGTTATATTGTAGGGAAGCTCGGGACAGCAAAAAACCGGGTCAAAAACGGAGCATCGTGCAGCCAACGGGAAATGTGCAGTTCTGCCAATGGATCTTTCCACGACTCTTGTCTGAGGGTAATGCAAATTATGTAAGCCCGAATCAAGAGTCGCCACGGCTAGGCACCCATGCATGCAGTGGTATGTGATTAATGAAAGCAATTTGATTGAGAATTTGAATTTTTGGACTTATGCTATTAAACTGTCCAGTTTGACGGGTCCCGCCCCAATATTACACTGCTTTAGCCAGGTGAATCATTTTAGTACTAGCTGTATTTCTCCCAATTTTATTGCTTTTAGAGACATGGACATGTCAGAATCAGTGGAGGAGGAATCTACTGCTCCCAAGGCTGCCGTTATGAAGGAGAGGGCAGAAGAGAAACAGGAAGAGGAATGGTCAATCGATGATCAACATGAAGGGACTGTGGTAAGTTTGAGCAGTTCAAATTTTTTATTCAAGATTTATTATATCAAAATATACATACATGTGTATTTTGATAGCTGGCATCAACATATAGATGTGAAAAAGCTCCTTGTTTCTTTCAACAGAGAATCAAGAAGGTCGTCATCTTCAGTGATTCCTTGGCAAAGTACACCCAACAGTACCTATCAAGCCACGAGTTCAGCTACCGTGTAGTTGCTCAGCGTGGCGCCCAAATCCATGATGTCACCCACAACGTAAAGGAGTTCTCTGCATCTGACTTAGACAATCCCACCAATGATGTTGTTGTGCTCCATGTGGGCACAAACAACCTTTGCAACAATCAGACTTTGGACCAGAATATACAAGATTATGAGGAGTTACTGCAATCAGCTGTTAACAGGTTTCCCAATGCTGGAATCCTTGTATCTGGGATTCTCCCCAGGTTTGACTCCAAGGTCTTGAATGATGCAGCAAAGATGTACAACATCCTCCTTGCACAACTGTCACACACGTTTGCAGACAAGGTTAAGTTTGTAGATCTGGGAAGTCACTTCAGGTCTGACCGCTTCTTTGCCATCGATGGTTTACACCTCAGCTACCAGGGGAACCCCAGATTTGCAGCCAAACTGCAAGAGGCAGTAGAGTACCACTTCTCCACTGATCCAGAACACGTCAGGTGGAAGGAAGCCTTCTCAGCTGCCGTGCAAAAAGTGCCTTTCCCTAAACCATCCCTCCTCGGGCCAGTGTCTTCAGGAAATGTAGAGAAAGCGTCCCAAAGAGAAGTCAAGCCAAGGGTACCAGTGACTAGAAAAGGGTTCAAGTCTCTGAGGCAAAAAGTAAAAGAGTCGACCAGATCTAGAAGAAAGTTTGGGACCCCGAAGCAAGAGAAGAAGTGCAGTGATGTGTCCTATTGGACTGGCTGGTAGGTTAACTGAATATACACAATACCCTCAAATTAACTTGATCTGTGTGTGACTGAAATGTTCTGACATGACTGGTGTTGCACAATTTGCAGTGCATGTGCAGTATAATTCTGTCACTGGTCTGAAAACTGTTGCATTAGTTTTAATGTTTACATTTTCCTTTGTCATAATGGTATTTTAGGACCAGGTGCCAAGGCCCCACTGCAGCTTGCTCACCCAGCGGGAACGGTCCAAAGTGGAAGACTGAGTACTTAATCAGAACAAACTGCTGTTTGTACAAGGTATGTTACTTAACCATACATGTGCACTGACCATAGACAAATCTAACTGCAAAATAAAACTGCATTTGGATTGGATAGCAATTAAAGTTTATGATGTACAGAGATAACAGAAATTGTACAATGCAGTTTCTTCAATATTTCTTATTCTATGTAACTTTCAGAGGCTTCAAAAAGCTCCACATTCTCACCAGCCTAAATGCAACACCAAGAGGGGAAAGAAAAGGAAAATGCCTGGACCTGCGAAGGTGAACAAAGCTTCAAGTGTGGAGAAAATAACTTTTTATTGCAGTACAAAATTAACTGGTGCAACATTTTGGGAAAAGGGGAGTAAAATCTTGTCTTTTCCTTGTTTCATGCAATCAAGTACGAAAAAAAAATTTTTTTTTCATTTCAGGTTGACCCAAACCCAAAAGACTTGGACAAGCTGGAGGAGCTCCTAGAAGAGTGTGCAGGCCAAAGGTCTGTTGGTCCAAGAATATATAGAATATATATTATAGAATATAATATTATATATCCTTGATTGGTCAGAGTGCCTTCTTCACTACTTGATTTGTGGAACTTTTTTTTTGTATTGTATAAAAAGTCTTGAAATTTCAGGTGACCTTTTGGGTATGACCTGTGAAACTTTTACAATGAAATAAACGACATGAAATTAAAAGTATGACATAATAAGCATTTAGAAGTCCACATTTTCTTCTGTTGTTAGTTCTACATGTTAATTATAGTTTGTTTAATTACTTTTTAGTGCTCTGTGGCGAAACCCGGGTCCAATTCCAAGGAAACGCAAGAGGCAATGTTCAGGCAAAGGGGAGCTTTTGCAGGATAGAAAGGTATAATGTACAATATTTGTATTTAAACTGCTATAGTATGTGTGTGTGTTTGTGTGTGCGTAGTGTGATTCTTGTTCAACGTGCATGTGCATATTTTGAGACATTTGCTTTATTAAGACATTTGCTTTCTATTAACATTCTGAAATACCTGTTAAACTGCCCTTCATTTTTAGAACAAAGACCATAGGGTACAACAGAAAGACATCAACCCACAACCCACATGTACTAATGATGGACATAACACAGCAGACCTTCATGATGACAGATGGTACAATTTATTACCAAAACTAGTAGATTACCTTAGATTTTGTGCATTGATTAGTGTGTACTAATTGTAGATTACATACTAGTATGGCTCACTCAATGCATAAAAAGGAACCACGTTTAATTTATTCATTTTCTTAGCAACTGGTGACTGAGCAGTCTAAGGTACAACTATTGAAGCCTGACAGTTTTGGGTATTGAATATTTGGACGTTAACTTGGTTACTTTCCTTTTTATTAGTTAAGATTTAAGTAACAAATTTAATTCCCAGCTACATAGATGTCATCAGATTTGTTGTTGTTAAACATTTTTCTTGTACAAAGGCTGTTGCAGAGTAATTCATGTCATGCTAATTATAAGAGGGGCGATATGTACATTTTCATTGTGATTAACAAAATGAATGCTCATCTAACTTGATACAATATTACTATGAGGTGTCAGTGGCTTGGGAAAATTTTTAGTACTAACCTCCAATTTTCTTTACTCCTAGTCCATCATATCCAGTATACATCCAGATGTGGGATGGTCAGCTACTTACTGGAGACATAGCAGATGACAGCACAGTTAAAGAGCTTCATGAAACAGTGGCAAAGTTCTACCAGAATGGCCTTCCAAAAGAGGCATCTTTCTACAGAGGGGGTCTGAAGGTTTGTGACCTGAAAATGTATAAACTATAAATGGAATACTGTGTAATGATTGTTAGTGTCTTTATAACAAGGCTTGGTATACATTGTATTTAAAAGATGACAACAGTCAGTTCAACTTGCTGTAAAGGACAGGCTTTCAAATGATAGTTGAATCTTTGCTGTTTTCTAGGTGACAGAAGAAGTGTCCTTAAAGCATCAAGGCATTGTTGCAGAGTCTACAGTGCAAGTTCTCCTGAAACTAAAGGGGGGAGGTGACAAAGGTAATATCAACCAAGTTGTTATCCACTGTTCTTGAAATATCTGGATTTATGGAAGTGTTGTATATAGTCAAGCTGTATGTATATTCTCAAACATTAAGTATTCTTAGTTGAGAATTTTGATCTCACATTCAGGATGAAAACATGTTATTGTTAGTAATTATACATGTAATAAGTCAGGAACAGTAGTTGGAAGTGGTGGATTTGACTTTGACAGACAAAACTTTTTTGCAGGTGATGCTGAGGCTAAAGCTGTGAGACACATGACAGAGTGGACAGAAGAAGAAGCTGTACAGTGGATGCAAACAGAGGCAAAGATGAGACCAGATGAAGTAAAACCATTGGTTGAAGAGCAGGTAGATGGGTTAGCTTTATGGGAGATGACTGTCGATTCTCTAAAGAAACATTTCAGTTGTCTGTCTGGTGGTGCTAAAATCAAGCTGCTAAAAGCTCTAAAGAGCTACAGAAAAATGTCTCCAGATTTTGAGCAAATTATTCTTCCTGAATCAGTTGAACTGCCTTCTAATGTGACATCTTGGAGGGAAAAAGAGATAAGGTTATGGTTGTCTTGTGTGGTGAAGTTTACACAGAATGATATTGATTCAGTCTGTGCATTGGGTCTGGATGGTGATAGCCTGTTGAAGTTGGATGAAGAAACTGTCAGAGAGTTAGAGTTTCTTCCTGAAATGAAGCAAGGGCCCTTGGTAAAATTATTATCCTGTGTCAAGAAGTTAAATCATCTACTGAGCGAAAGAAATCTTGCGGTTGAAGATGTGAAGGGTGGGAAAGAAGTAGCAGAAATCCCTTTGATCAGTGTGGAAACTATCTTGAACAAAGCTGCATCAAACATATCTGAAGGCATGGCTGAAAGCATTGCAAGCGCTGCAGGGGACACAAAGACAGCAAAAGTAACAAAAACCATTGATGTGTGTGACAAAAAACATGAAAGCCAAATTGCACCAGATGAAAGTTTAGTAGTACACAGGGATAAAGGTGCCTCAAAAGAGTTGATTGGTGTGAAAGATGAGAAAGACAAAGGTCTAATTGAAGTTGTCCGAAGAAAAAAATATGTTGATCCAAAAAGGACATCATTGGGCACACCTGGTTCTGATAAAGAACCTGCCTCAGCTCCATCTAATAAGCAGATAGCCCATCAGCAACCAGCAAAAGTCCAACTAACCCAACCTTCTACCAAAAGTGTAAAACTAACGGAAAAACAAACAGCAATGTTGCATTTACTGAAGTTATCAGGCCTTGATCTGTATGATTCCCAATTAACGCAAAATCTCCAGCTCCAGCAGTGTGAGATAAGTATCATATATGCACGACCAAAAACGAAAAATGAACTGGATAAGTTGTTTAATTTTCTGGTAATTAGGAAGGTGTCAGGCAGTAATCCTCCCACTCAGTCCCAGGTATCAGAGTTTACCAAACATTTATGGGGTAAAATTAGGAAAGAGCTGTGCCATTGGGTGGCCTTTCTGCCCAAGGAGTGCAGAAAGGATTATCATGTGGACAAAACCGTAACTTCATCGGAAAATGTTTTTCGAAGTAAAGACATGACAATTATCAGTTTATCAAAGAAAGATCCCACTTATGTCCCCCTAGGCCAAGTTGATTCTCAATTATTGAAGTCAATTAAAACAACTATATTCATTGTTGAGGAATCCCTCACTATAGAGGAACCCCAAGAATACATCACCACTTGCGGTACAAAAGATAGGAAGTATTACTTCCAGTTTTGCAAGAATGACAACTGGCATGCCACGTTTGATGAAAGAAACCTAATGAAAGCGTTTGTTTTGAAGACAAATGTAATGACTGCAGAGGCAGAGAGTAATTTAGTGCTTCCAGAGAAAGGGGAATTAAGTGACAAGGAAAGTCTTTCAGTTCCACCCCAGTCTCCAATAGAGACAGTAACTACTGAAAAAGCTCCAACAAAGTCAAAAGTGGCAGTGGAAGATCCATGTAGTACTAATTCTAAATTACTTGGGCCAGGTAAAACTGCTCAGCAAGATTCAGTCACCAGCATCAGTACAAATGCTCCTGTTGATGAAGATGGTAAAGATGTTGGTGCTAACAAATTGTCCCTTAAGGATCAAGAACAAGCATCTCCTATAAATGACATTGGAAGATCTGATTTGGGCACCTTGCAGAAATCACACCCTTCTGCCCAGCCACAGTTGCCTGCCCCTTCGAAAATACCGTCAGGTCATTCCTCAGCAATGCCAAGCACTTCCAGTACCTACGAATCGCAAAGGCCTTTCCCTTTTGGGAAGAATGACATAGGAAAGTTTTCTTACAAAAGCGGTTATGTTCTTACTGTAATGGAGTCAGGTGCAGGGAGCCTTCTGTCTCCTTGTCATGAATTTAAAGTTTATCAGTGGGTCGAGTCAACTGACCAGAAGCTCTCTTCTGAAGCTAAAGAATACTTTATATTTGAAACCCTACGATTTGTGACAGGTTGTATTAATGCACGTCGTAATGGAACAATACATTTTGGCATCGGTGATGATGATGATGGCAAATACCAGCATGGGGAAATTGTGGGCACTTGGCTACAAGAACATCTTAAAACAGAGTTTGATGATATGATAAAGAAGTCTATTGACATTTATTTTAATCACGACTGGGCCAAATCTGCTGTCAATCAGTGCATATATCCTGTTAGGTTCATTCCTGTTGATCTAGAAGAATCTGAACCAAGTGTAAGAAAATATGTTATTGAAGTGGATGTTGCACCAACATTTTCTCTAACAGAAAATAGAGCATTTTTCATTGAATTTCGGAAAATGAAAATGAAAACGCACAAAATGCGACAAGAAGAACGCTTATACTTTCGAGAGAGGGCATCAACAGTTCACTATACAGGATCAAAGTTAGATGACTTTCAACATAATCTATTACGGAAACTTGTGCAAGAAAGAAAAGAATTAGACCAGAAAAATAACTCAACCATAGAAAGGCCATCTTACAACAATGAGGATAATGCTAAAAAGCTAAAGAGCTGCCTTCTGGGTGGTGAAACAGACTTAAAAGCAAAATATCCAATACTGTTTGTAAGCAAAACAGATTCCCAAACCCGAGGCATTGAAAGTGAACTCGGCTTCATAGCAGAAATTCCTTGGATAGCAATATTTGACCTTGATCCAAGTTCAGATCACAGTGGAATTTGCAACTTGTTTAGATCACAGATGAAACGTGAATGTTTGTTATATAGGCCAGAGGAAAAGTTTTTGCACTTTTCTGATCATGAAGAGCTGGCAGAAGCAATTTTATTTCCTGAAAAGACATGTTGGATTTTTGCAAATGGCAGACATGCCCTTGGAGTTGACCCTTGCGACGACAAAAAATGGACCGGTACTGAACGTTGCAAAGCTGTAAAGAACGCAATATCTTTCTTTTCAAGTCCTGATAAAATCCCCCCAGGGAAGGCAGTTGTTGTTTTCCTTATCCTATCAGAGGATATTGATATTATGGTTAGTTGCTTCCGTAACTGTTTTGTAGACTTCTGTGGGGTTGATAATTTTTATTATAACTTTCTCTGTTTGTTTGAAAATAAAAATGCTTATGAATCATGGGAGAATCAGGTAGGAAGTGTTTGTGGCCCTGGAGAGCTGCAGAGAAAGAGCATTGTGGGCATGCCATGGGCACATATCAACCAAACTGTCCAGTCCATAAATGGCCATACAGTACAAACAGAACCTCACATTCCAACATCCAGTGGCTCTTATGTGTCACTGACTAATCAACAACGTAACAAATTGGATGATCTGGAGGTTCTCAGTAAAAATCAGTGTGAGGACCAAGGTTTGGATCCAGAATCTGAGGGCTTTGAAGAGTTCTGTCAGGAGAAAGAGATGTTGTTCTACAAAGGTAATGAAGTTGACTGGCTAAACTTCTTCTTAACTGATGTTTACTCCAAAAATCATGTGATGAAAAGAGAGAAATTCAGGGAATTGCACAGACTTATCTCAGTATCACTTTTCCAAAGAGACCCACACTTGAAAGGGAAATCAGTTATTATAACACTGTATTACCAAGCTGGAAGTGGGGCCACAACACTTGGCAGGCACATTCTATGGGAATTTAGGGAGAGCAATGTCAGATGCTGTGTGATAAAGAGAATCACTGAGGGCACAGCAAATCAAATACTGACTCTACGAAGATATCTTGAGAAAGATGAAAATGAATGCTTACCAGTATTGGTGCTCATTGACAACAAGAATGAAGAACTTGTTCAAAACTTAATTGCTGGTATTGAGCGCCAAATTAAAGAAAAAGGAGTTGTTACAGAAAAGCCAGTTTGCATTATTTTACAGTGTAAACGTACGCCAGATGCAAAAAAACTTCATGATGATAATCCTTCTAAAAGTGAATACTTAGAACAAAGTGTCAGTGATAACGAAATGATATGGCTAGAAAAGAAGCAAGAGGAGTTGGAAAAGAAGCAAGAAAACTTGTCTAGTGATTATGGATCTGACACTGAATATGCTGAAGATGCAGATGAGCCCATGACACAATCAGAAAACTCTCTTATTAGAACTCCTCTGAACTTGGATAAGAATCCTGACCGCTTCATTAAGTTCATGATTCTTCGCAAAAATTTTGACCCAGAGTTTGTAAGAAATTTTGTTGCTAACTCTTTAACGGAAATTAAAGGCAATGAACAATTACTACTTCGCTATACGGCCTTGCTGAATGTGTTTGTAGAGAAAGAAGATTCCTTTGTTCCATTACATTGTGCTGAAGCCTTGATGGGAATAAATGAGAACAAGTATCGGACCATGGACAATACACTTAGTAGAGCTGTCAAAGTCTTTCTCATTGTAGTAGAAAGATACACATGTGGCATAGTAGAAGGGTACAAAATTGTAGACCCTCTCTTAGCAAGTGAAGTTTTGAAGCACATTGTGGCAGAAAATGAGACATATTCCTCTATTGCATGTGATTTCCTTGAAAGTAGACTATTTTGTAACACTTATACTACAAAGGAGCTAATATTCTTTACTAAGGAAATGTTGAAGCGTCGTAAGAAGTTTGCATATGGGGATGAAACAGAAACGCATTTTTCGTTGCTTGTTGAACGTATCTGCTATGAAGAGGGTCATGAGAATGCAGCAGCTGTTCTTCAAAAGGGCTTAAAGTTGGATAAGTTTGTGGATGCCATAATTGCGCAAACCTTGGCACGATTGTTCTTAAGGCATGATGATTTTGCTCAAGCTCATGAATATGCTGGCATTGCTGTTGACCAGGATTCTAACAACTCCTACCTTTTAGTAACTGCAGGAAAGGTGTACCATGAAGAAATGATTCAAAAGTTTGATATGGCTGACAGTGGATTGACACTGTCCATGCTCCAGGATGCTTTATCTCTGGCAATGTCTGCTGTAGAACAGTACCATAAGTCTAAAGAGGCAAATAGAACAGGAAGATATCCGCCAAATATGCATTGTTATCTTGAAGAAATCAAGATCTGTTTTAAACTGCTGTTTAACATTAGGAGAGTGGATCCATTCAAGGGTAGAGATGGACAAGCTAATTTGCAGAGGTATCTGACTGACCCCAAGTTTGTCCCAGATGAAGTACAGGGTGTATGGAAAGAGTATCATGAATGGATTAAGTCATTAAAAGGTAGGATAGATGCCTCCATTGAGCGCTTGGACAAGGATTTCAGATACAACAAGCCTAAGTCGAGGGATAAGGAGCATGACCGGTTTAAAAAGAAATTTTATGAGATGGTTCGAAACTATAATCAATTCTTTGGTATGTTGGAAAATTCTGTAATTGGTAGTGATGAAGAAAGAAAAAGGCTACAGGCCTGTACTGTACTTGAGGGCTACAAGGTCAACTTCAGTGTTGCCTTTGAGTACATAAAAGGTAAGGGTAGAAATGCTGTTCCAAATTTGACAAGGGCCCTGGATCAATTAATTAGAATCCCAGAAAGAGAGGCATTTGACCTAGAAGGTCTTATCTCAGTATCACTTGCTCTATCGACAGCTGATCCACATTCTAAGAAAATACCATCATTTAAGCAAGTGTATGAGTGGTGTGTTGAGCTATGTACCTTAGCACCAACCACACTTGAGCCACACCTGTTTAGGACTATGTTTCTTTGGCCTAGAGAAGATATGGATATTGATTTTGATGCAGGATCATTCAAAAATTCAAAGGATAGGTTGTCAAATCTCCACAAAGAGCAATGCCCAAGCCATGTTCTCAGACATTTTCAAGCTCACAAAAGGATGACCATAACTGGCTACTCGCGAGCAATGCCTGCAACAAACTTTTTCCTGTCCACTGGAAAGGGCCTTCAGTCTTTTGTACACATTTCCAGCTTGCTAACTGTGAACACTGAGTCTCAAAGAAATTTTGACAGAGACCAGTTTTGGGAAAGGACAGAAGTGCAAGAAAAACTACGAAGACTTGAAGGGATTTGCCTTAACCATAACACAATCAGCTATCAGGTAAAGGATTTTCCTAGGATTGAGATTCACTCATCCCGTCCCATTGCGATTAAAGGGGCCAGTCAGGACAGGGTCAGTTTTTTCCTGGGTTTCAGCTGGGAAGGTCCCATTGCCTACAATGTCAAAGTTCAAGAGGATTGGTAACATGACAAAGCTCCAAGCTTGTGCTGGTACCATTCTAAACAACAGGTTTTGCCAATTTCTTTGCAGCTTCTATAGTACATGTATTCATATTATTAACTTTCAAAGTGTTACACACAATGCTTTCAGCCCAAGGCCTGTTATTCAAATAGTTTTGCCTATTACATAAGACCTGACAATATATGCAAACTTAGGTCACACGAATCAATTTCCATGTTCTCTGACATTTTAAGTAGAAATTTAGCATTTTACATATTTATATAACAATCAAGCATTTTGCTACAAAGAAATTAACATCTCCAAAGATGTGTGACATGTTTAACAAAATTCAAGGTTTCTGTTCTGTTTTATGGCAGGTTCTTCTTATTCTCCTTGATTATGTAGTCAACAGTTTACTTTTGTGTTATTTTGCCTAGACGACAACATTCCCATGTATTTTAGTGCACATGTACCCATGTATCAGGCTTGGATTAATGAGTTATAAGAGGAAGCTACAAATAACTATACTTTAAATAGTCACTGTGAAACAGTGTGCTCTCTGTTAAAGGTATTTGAAATACCATGATGCTTGATTTCTTTTGATGAATCATAAGTTCCCTTTAATTAAATGCATATATCTACTTTGTATTCTTTGAACTAAACAGTGTGCTACAAGCAAGTATGTTAAAACATTAAAGGCCTCAAGCCAACCCTCCTGTGGCTTTACTCCTCTTTGCAAAAATGCAGTTTACAAATATGATTTGTATTATTAAAAGTACAAATTAGTGTTACTTTCCATCACATAGTAAGTGGAAGACCCATTGCATTATCATATTTACTATACATGTAGTTATGCAATAAAATATTGCTGACATATGATGTTTGTTTGTTATCTTGTTTGGGTCACTGTTCTGTTTCAAATTTCACAATCATAGGGGAACAGAGTAGATTCATCAAATATCATTTGACCAAAATTATTTATTTTGAATTATATATATATAACATGTATGTTTCTGTTATAGTGTAACGTTACTAGTAGATGCATAGTGATACATTATAAGACAGATGTCTGTAGGGTTCTTTATTTGCACTCAAGAGTAAAAACAGAAATCATCTTTCCTTCCCAAGAATTCCCTTGAGCCTAGACACAGGCAAAGACTGCTGTCTCTGCTCGTTTCTCTTCAGTTGATAGTTGATGGTGAAGATGTCAGAGATCCATTAGACCTGTACTTTGCGACATCTGGCGATATGCAGTGGAACTGCAGCCTTCCCCAAGGCTGTTGACACCCTCAGAGGTCATCACACAACACGTGAAAGCATGGCTGCGGTGCTGCGTCAGTTTTCCACCGTCTTCTCCCCTACGAGACTGGCCTGTCAGACCGGCGTGGCCTTCTTTACACTTCAGGTAGAAACACGAACTGTTGCAGCGTTAGAAAGCGGTTGTTCACGTACATTTGTGAACAAGAAAGCATGCAACTTAGTTTTGGTGCAAGGGGGAGGGGGGCATAGCGTTACCACTATGAAGCTTTCATAATTTTTAAAACGGAAAACCAAACATGCATGGCAGTACGCTTTGATAGAGAGTTTTATGTAAAGAAACCGTCTAAGAAAGAGTAAAAATAACTTTATAAGGATAGAAATAATCATTATACGTGTAGTCTAAAAATTGGCCCAAATGCTATATTGCCATGTTACTTCAATTTCTTGGTTCACAGTTTTTTGCAAGAAAAAGGTGAAACAAAGGTACTAATTAAAAACAGGTATTCAGTGATACTGCTCATACCGACCCCCCCCCCACCCCACACACACACCTTTCACATAAGCCTTAGAACATTTTAATAAACACTGAAAGTAATAGCAAAAAGGTCTATTCTTTTGAACCTCCTTACTAATTGTTGTTTTTCCAACACATAGGCTGCAGGGACAGAGCGGCTGGTGACCAAGAAAGTCTACTTTGACATAGAGATCGGTGGTCAGAAGGCAGGCAGAGTCGTAATAGGACTGTTCGGCGAAATCACACCAAAGACGGCGGCAAACTTTGAACAGCTGACGACTCATGAGAAGGGTTTTGGGTACAAGGGCAGTGCCTTCCATAGAGTCATCAAAAAGTTCATGATCCAAGGTGAGGATGAGGTATCACACTGAAGTTTGAAGGTCTCTTGTAGCTGTTCTTTCGGACTGGACTATGTTGACTTTGGCACTTGTGCATTTTTTGGGTTTTATTTATAAGGCCATACCAATTTAATTTGTTGTTTCTCAGATTTTTTCAGAAAAATATGAAGCGACAGGGACAAAAAAAAAAACAGACCAAGGCGTGAAGGCCGGAAATGTTACGATATGAACCATGAGGTCAACATACCAAACTGGTTTATAATTAAAACAATAGATTTTGAACTTTTAATGAAATGAACTTGCATTGTTACATTGAAAAACTTTAACAACTAGGAAGAAAAGGACTTTCCTCAACCGTTGGGGCCAAATATGTCTTTCATTCTTTCATTGAGCATTTTGCAGTTGATTCAGAACCTACATGTAAAATCCTTCTTTTTTTTTTTTTTTTTTTGAATCAGAAAAAAATGGACAGGGCAAACCCGAGAAACAGCAAATTAAATTGGTGTGGCCTAAAGAAAACAGATCTAGCATTGTGAGCATCAGAATAAGCTAACTCCTTTTGTTCAGAGAATTGTCAACAAAATAAAGTAAAACCAAGAAGGTTATTTGATTTTGAACCTCCTTGGTAAAACTCAGACCACGAGACCTCATTTATCACAGTCCTTGACCAAATATGGAAATGTGATATTTTTTTTACCCATGATCCCTAGGTGGTGACTTCACCAGGGGTGATGGGACAGGTGGAAAGTCCATATATGGTAACAAGTTCCCAGATGAGAACTTCATGCTGTCCCATACAGAACCTGGCTTACTTAGCATGGCAAATGCAGGTATGTTATAAGATACCTCACTACTATGTTATATGTTGTATATATGCATATTATACATTTAGCCTGTTCTGTGTATATATATATATTAGACTTGCTTTCACGTAATTTGTAGGATAAACTACAAATGAATTTTGAAATCATCTCTGTGTGGTGTAAAATTTGAAAAATTTGTTTTATTGGATAAAGCAATTTTACTCTAAATCAGACTCTACCTCAGCAAATGTAGATATCCGCTACTAGTCTGGGAAATATTGTTTTTAGTCTTTACTGTAGCTTTAACTGAAGCTATGGTAGACCCTTAAAAATCCCCCAAATCTGATCTTGTCTGTATCTGTATTCATATAGCTGGTATAACCACCCTTCAGTGTAACACACCAGCTTCGCAGGCACGTGGCGTGGCGGCAGCTAGCTACATGTATATCACACCGAACGACTTGTTACACTTAATCTTTGCACATTTAATTGCAGGAGTTGTTTAAAACTTTCTAGTTGTCAATATAAAGCATTTTATACTAGTAAATCACCAATATACCGATTGTGGTGTGTGTGACATCCTTACAGGACCCAACACCAATGGTTCACAATTCTTCATCACGACCGTGCCCACGCCGTGGCTGAACGGGCGCCATGTTGTGTTCGGGAAGGTCCTGGAGGGAATGGACGTGGTGAGCCGGGTGGAGAACAGTCCCGTGGACAGGCGCGACCGTCCCAAGCAGCCCTGCGTGATCGCGGACTGCGGAACGTTGGAGCTAGACAAACCATTCGCTGTGTGAACTGTATTTAAGTAGAGGATAGACCAGACATGTTACTGTTCACCTCCTGCAAAAGAATTATTAACCTTTTCCTTGCTGAATTGGGCCTTGGAGCCAAATTGTATTGGTTATAGGGTTAGGCAGCAGGTAGAAGGTTAAAATAGTAGAAATTGACTAGATACATAGGATGGATGATTAGCTGGAGGCCAGCTTGCCAGCCAACTACCTTTGCTGACAAATCTGACATCCTCTTTTGTGGATGTCTGTATTTTTTTCATATCAAGAGTAATCAAGTTTTGACTAGGAGATTATGACAAGAAATTTTTGAAATGCAATATGAATCAGTACATCAGATCTAAAATTCTACATGCTTATGATATTGATGAAGTAATTTGTAATTGGAAGGCAGTTTTGTCAATAAAGATGTCACAGGTGATTCTTCTTCTCCATGCAAGACTATCAATGCTGCACTTATTTTACCATTACTTTGGAGTCTGGACTGAGGAAAACAAAGAGAGTACACCAAGCCGACCTGATTTCTTGACGGTAAGAAGGGGCTGATATGTAAAAAGGAAGATGAAATTTGTTGAAAAAAAAAATAAATGTAGATTATGAAAATGGAGGAATATAAAGAATTGACTAACATTAACACGTACAGCAGTACAGTAATTGTAAAATTGGACATAAATAGCATTACACTTGGTATCAGTTATAAGAAAAGATCTTATTCCACAACTTAAGGTTTAGATCATACTAAAAGTGCACATATATTGTCTTAGACGTATCGTTCCTTAAGAGATGACGCAGTCACAAATTGACTCCAGATGAACTTTGCACCGGCATGTTATCAGTCAACCCGCGGCGCATGCGTTACAGTATCTGGCAAAAGAAAAGTCCACAACAGCCCCAAGAGTCAATAACCTCCCACAGACGGTCTGGCGATATCAACTCAGGGTCTCACCCGTCCGTGCATCAGATCGGACCTTTTCCTCACAGTTTTCATTCAAGTTCAGGTAAGTCCGTTTCTTTACTAAGATCTACCTATTGTAAATGTGATTTAAAGGGTTTTCAATGACTGTGTGTGCAAAACGCATGTTGAGTTTGTAAAGTTAGAAGGCTGGTCGCTAGTGCCACGAAGCACGTCTCATTCTGTGTTATCTCTTGACCTTTGATCACCATTGTTTTGCTGAGTCTGACGGTATACAGTGTGGGGTGATCTCCAAGCAGATATTAGGAGTTGGGATTGCGGCATTCTCTTTAGTAAACGTCCTCTATTACTAGTATCTGACAAACGTACAATTTTGACTTTTTTTCCACCCTCGGAGCTCGAAGAATCGTTCAGTCTCGTGTAGCCATATGAAGCTAAAAACAAGCGAAATGACCGTTTACATGATGGCCTTGATATATAATAAATAAGACTTGAACTGTTCATCAAAGTTTAATACGCTCATACTATACTATGATACTACTAGTCTGGTCTCTAGACGTAAAACAACAACTGGGGGAAGTTATCATCGCAACCAGTTTAGACTCACTGATACCGGTTGTGGTACGAACATGCAAGCTCTCACAGTTTGGATTTTCTCCAATCCTGCGCCCTTGGACAAGTGCCATTGTTTTTCTGCACCACTGTTTTCGCCATCCGATTGCGGGCGGAATTTGTCACAAAAACATATGATGTCACGAGTGAGTCGATACCAGGTCCAGCTTCCTCTGTTATTCTCTGAATCATACGTACCATTGCCGATTACTCGTATCTATTTCAGTGGCATTTGCCAATTCGACAAGGCTGTTTTATCTAGTACTAGTACCTTCCTAACGCATACTATTGAAGGTAAGTTGATCCTTTCCTGGCCATTCCTGTTACCGTTTACGTTATTTCCTCCATCTTTCCAAAAAAACTGACGCCCAATGTTGAGAAACTTGTCAGAGTGTGTCGTTGTCCTGATTTTCTATGCACTATATACGGACAGAAGGTCTGATAAACTGTGAAAGAACTTTAAATATAGCAGATGTACTAGCCTGGTGTCCAGCCTAGTTAGTTAGCTTTGGTTCGCTCCCCAAGATCCGCTACCCAGCCAACGTTGAAGACGCATAATGTTTCCACGATTCAGAACTGATCGTCATGTTTTGTCATAGCATAACCCTCACAACGGTTTGATCTGTGTTTTCGTATTAATTTTAGTGAACATGAAGATCTCCGTCATTTTGGCGGCCGTGGCCTTGGCCACACTGTGCGACGCCAGCAGCTTTCCCCGTGTGTTGAGCAGCCCAAGCTCGCAAGAGGGCGCGTTTGAACAAGGCCCGGAAGACAACATCACCGAACCCGAAGACATTGCTGATTCCGAAGAACGCGCTTTCGTGGAAGAACTCCGGGAGGAATTTGCAGAAATGGAAAGCATGGTAAGAGTGCGTTCTGATTCATATGCAGAATATGAATTTCAGAATATCTATCTTTGTAGTCGTTTTAGCTTCGCGTTTCATCTATTGCATCTGTGTGATAAAGGCAAAGTCGGTCGTTTACTTTTGAATTTATGCTCTTTTTTTAATCAACTTGTTGGTTCATTGCAGGAATCTACGGAGACGGAATTCTCACTCGACACCAGCCAGGATACGAGTGCCCCCAGGTCACCCAGTAAGAATTGCATCCATAATCGTTTCACTTTTAATTCAGCTTGATATTAAAGCTAATCACTAATGACACGTAATTACCTTTGCCAAGAAGGTTATGCTTTCCTAGTTATTACAGCTATTGTGCATTCAAAAGCTAGTGATGCAAGAGATTTAATGTTCAAAGGTACAGCAAATTTAACAGTCACAAGTACACAATGTAGTTGTATCATGGTATCTTGTGTTAAGATGTGATGCTCTACATGTAGCTTCGTCATGATCTAATAAATCAACATTAAAGAACATTTTATGAAATGGTCTGCGCGATTGGCACTAGGACAGCCGAATAGCTATTTTCACACCTTCTTGCCGTGCGTACATAACACTTTTCTTCTTCCTGCTCACTAGTGAAACGCGTGCGGACTCAGAAGACGAAGTGCAGCCTGGAGGGGGCGTGGCGTAACAGCCACGGCTCCGAGATGGTTCTCAACATGACCGAGGAGGGACACGTCACCGGCGAGTACAGGACTGCCGTGGAGAGCAAGGTGGCGTATGGAGCTATCGATCATTTCAGCTTTTTTTGTTCTGTTTTCTTGCGCTAGTAAACATTTTACTTCAGTGAAACCGGACGTATTGTTTTGGGTTTGTTTGTGCGTGCGTTTGCTTGTGTGTCCGCACAGTGGAATGACAGAACGTGGGTGGGGAATTATATAACCACAGTCTCACACAGACTACAAAATGTCAGACACAGGAAGCTAGGCCCCAGCAGCTGGCCGGGAGCCAGCCTGGAGTCTGTCAGTGGCCGGGTGAATGCACAGCTAAGAACTAAGAAACTAAGAAATCCACGATAATTAATAAGCAAGAAATTCACAAATATTTTACGAAGGTATAGTATCTCCAAAGTCTAGATTTTTTCTTCTTCTTGCCTCCAGCTGGGCGCTGCCGGTAACGGTCCCAGTCTGGTCCGCGGGGCAGGCGGCCGGTCCGGGGCCTCCACCTTCGGTTTCTCCGTGGTGTGGAGGGGCGGAGCTTCCACCACCACCTGGGCGGGACAGTGTCTGATCTGTGACGGGCAGGAGATCCTGGAGACCACCTGGCTGCTGGTGGGGGAGGTGGCGGGCTGCGAGGACAGCTGGATGTCCACCAGGTAAGGACGGACAGCATTGTCGGAACCATGGCAAGAATTTGTTCCTTTCACTCTGATTCCAAAGAAGATAACAAGAGAAAGGAAAGGCAGAATGATAGAAGCATAATGAGAGACACACAAACAAACACACACACACACATGCACGGGCGCGCGCGCGCAGAGAGAGAGAAAGAGTGAGAGAGAGAAAGAAGGAGATAGAGATGGAACGAGGAGAGAGAGATTTCGAAAGAGAAATCCCAATTAAAAATTATAGTTATGATAAGTCATTTGATGGTGAAGCCTTACGATAGTCACCGATAGCCATGACCACTTTATTTTGTTTCGCACCTTTACAAGATACAGGTACAATATGTACTTAATATGTACTTAACTGACCTTGCTTGTTGTTTTCAGGGTCGGGAAGGACACGTTCTACCGCATCCCTAAGCACGAGACCCGCAAGTACACTGAGGGCCACCTCGTTCCCAGGGACTAGTGGCCTCGTTCCACAGGTTTAGGCTAGTAGTGTTCTAAACGGCACTCACTAGGCCAAGAATGCAACTGATTCAAGAATCAATAAACATGAAGGAAAATTGAGTTGTTATTTGTTTCCCTTTATTTTCAAAATAAATGTTAAAGTGTCTTCTCTGATACACTTGGTGCTGGTTTGTGCAATCTGTTAATCTTTAATCTTGTTAATCTTTCTTGGTGTTGTAGGCGCCAATGAAACGAACATCAAGTTGAAAATTTACATTACAAATCCAGGATATATATATTTGATATATTTGTAACAAGACGTGCGGTGTATATTAGTATACGATTTGTCGTCGTACTTTGTCTGGTGTAAATACGTTAAAAGGTTAAAAAAACGTATGCTTTCTCCCTTTCCTTTTGTATTGAAATGAAGCTTATATATGATTAGTTCGCCATATATCTGAGGTATAAATGTGTATCTATAATTAAGTCCATCAAAATAAGGGAGACAACACCTTTCTTCTTGTTATTGTTGCACATTTCTCCGTTTTGACGGTGTTCGGCGCTATGGGGTTAGTAGTACGTATATACCCTGGAAGTTAAAAGGTAAAAAATGCATGATTGTTTCTCCCTTTTCATTTGACTTGCTTAGTTCGCCATCTACATTATCTGACGTAATAAGACAGACTGCGCCTAGTCTTTCGTGTTATTGTTACACATTTCTACCATTTGACGCTGTTCGACACTATGGGGTCGGTCTACTCTGGACGATGCTCATTTCTCCGTGGCCCCCGCGGTTTGTCTGGCCCGTTTCTCCCACCAGCCCTGCACCATCCTGGTATGGGACGCTCCATCCGGGAACCCGTTGTGCTTGATGACGTCACGGTAGAATCCGGCCGACTCTTTGGGTACCTGATGGTAGAGGGTTGGAAGAAAGGTAGTTTGAAAGGGCGTCTGTGTTGGTAGAAGTCATTCTGATTGCTTATTCCGTGACAAAGACTGGAGTTGAAGAGTCGAAAATTTGAGTCAGGCCATAGCCAATTTGTTTGACCTCAGTTCTTGTATTGGAAATCAGAGTTCAAACCTGAATATACTACAGCATGACCTTTCAGAACACACTAGCAAGCAGAGGATGAAATTTAAGAGCCAAAACTCCACCTTGAATGCGGATTGTTATGAAAGTCCATGACACGTACCCTCTTCCTCTCGGGGTCTGTAAAGTCGACGTAGTACAGTCCCATCTTCTGGGTGTGGCCGTAGTTCCACTCAAAGTTGTCCATCAGGCACCAGACCGTGTAACCCTGGACATTCACACCGTCCTGCAAAATGGCTAGAGCAGCGATGGACAATATGACTTAAAGTAAGAGTGAGACTAGAAATCCAACATTTGTTTGCAAATACATGGTGTTGCCAATGTGCTAAAACTACACATATGCATTTGCTACTAAGAATCTTTTAAAATGTTGACATGATATCTTAACCGTAGCCTTGAAAAATGAAGATCCTAGGTCAATTCTAATAATACCTTTCCTGAGCTCGTTGATGTGTGCGGCGTGATAGCAGCTCCTCCTGGTGTCCTTCATGTCGTACTGCCCCTCTCCTTGGTGCTGCTCGTGCAGTCCGTTCTCCGTCACGAATATCAGCGGCACCCGATAACGGTCAGTCACACAGCTTAGAGCCTGGGGAGTAGTGCGATACAAGACAGATAAAATTCCACGTCGGTGGGTTAAAGATACGTCACTGTATGAGCAATGTACCAACTGCTTCATTTTCCCGATTCATGCCTCAGCATCTATAGAAAGGGGCCATGACTCCAAAATTTCCATTCTAGAGTCACTGTCATCTTGGCGGTGGTTGCTAGCTTCATAAGTTTTGACCTCACGTGCAAATACAATGATAATTTAAACACGTTATTTTATCGGCACCTTCCGCAATGCCCATGGCACGATGCTGATGAACGGCAGCCCCGCTACAGGCCAGTCTGGGTTCATCTCCACGTGCACGTCCGCGTCGTCTTCTTCCAACAGGTCGGGCTTGGCGGCGTCTCCCTCCGCCCGGGCGGACACCAGACGTGCGGTGTAGTAGTTCATCCCGAGGAAGTCGGCGGAGCCCTTCAGTAGCGCCTTCTCTTCTGCGGAAAACTCTAAAAGAGGGAGGAATTTGGAAGACTACTGCGTCAAGGTGAGTGACATGTATCATTCTGTCACGTTGTTGTTTTTAGCGAAGCTTCAGATTCGTAATTCGTGAAATGCTCGCGGTGGTTTTATTCTCGTGGTTCTTGAGTTGACCTCTCCATCGCGAAATTTGACACCGCCAGGCAATCAATCACAAAAACGAATTGAGCTAACACCTGTTCGCAAAATGGATGAATTCTAGTAATAGACGGACTGTTCGTCACAATAACTTTTTTTACACTATTGATATGACGCGCCTGTCAATAACCCATCTAATTTGTGCAGTGTTACATTTTGTAACATCACATGATGCACCCATGCCATTACATGTGAGTTGCACGGTTATTTATGCAGCCTTGGATCGGTGGCAGTTAGGGCAATGCACATCTGGCACGGGGGTTTGTTTACTAAATAATTGTCAGGCCAGGTGAAGTCACGCCAATCTGGTGTCACATTTTGTATATTATTTCGTTTTAATAAATAAAGTCACTATTTCGCATTTATTTGGATGATTGCTACTTCAGGTTCAATATCATCAACATCATAAAAGTAAGTGTTGGGATTGAATAAATGCATATACTATGGAAATATGTTGACACCACGTAGTGAAACTCGATACTCCCTTGAAGGCTAAAGCAAGGAGGTCCGAGGTCTGCTTCACTCATTTTAATACAATAGGAGAGTCTTGATTGACCCTTTCCGCTCTACTGTCACCTCAGCAAAGGTCCATTTCGTGCGTATGCATTGAAAGTTAACAAGACGAAAAAGACACATGAGTGGACAAAAATGCATGAATAGTCACATGCAGGTTACAATTTTGTCCCATGGTCTTGCTATACGTCCATGGTCTTGCTTCGCGGCACAGATCCAAATTTAAAGCCAGGTTCGAATTCCTTCGAAGTACTTACCGGGAAGATCCGACGTGGTCAGTCCGTCTGCCAAGCTCCTTTTCATGACGTATTCCTTCATGGTGTCGGGGTAGTCGCCGTTGACGAACAAGGGATGCGCGAACCAGCCGACGTTGAAGTCGAAGAAACGTTCCGCTGCGGCGACGTCATCGGCGCTGTGTGGGTCCCTGGGTTCGCCCCAGGTGCAGCCCAGAGCCAGACCAACCTGACATAGCGTACGAAAGGCACTTTCTTTGTATACACCTGTATCTGTATCTGTATAGCCGGTATAACCGCCTTTCGGCGTAACACACCAGCTTCGCAGGCACGCGGCGCGGCGGCAGCTGGCTATATTACACCGATCGACTTGTTACACCTAACTCTTGAACTTCTAGCTCTAGACATTGTTTAAAGCTATCTATTGACAATGCCCCTACTGTAGTTGGTGACAGTGAGTTCCACTCTGCGATAGTTCTAGGAAAGAATGAATTCTTGAACACCTCAATCCTTGGTTGATAACTCTGGTACTTGAATGCGTGGCTATTTCTTGTTCTCTTCTGGGCTGGTATTAGGTACTTAGTAGATTTAATTTCTGGAGTTACAATCAGTACATATGCACAGTTGACAATAGATTACTATCAGACATCTGACTGACTACCACAAATTACCACAAAAGCAAGCAAGATATTGCCATAAACATGTGCACATCGTAGGCACCGTTTTGATTACAAAACCCTATCTCAATTATAATCTTAATTATAGTCTTTTTAATCGTGCTTTGATTCTTAGCCCTTCATGTATTTGTGGGTACCCCTGCGAATCTATTTCTCATGTTATATTACACTGCCCTTTGTTTACTCAGTTAAGAGCTGATTTAATCGGTCCTTTGATTGATTTAGATGCCCTTTCTGAAAGTGCCAGGCTCTATCTTGTACTCAGGGGATCGTTTGCGATACCCTCTGAGTACAAAGAAAAAATTATGTTACTTACCCAAGCTTTTATAAGCGGCACTAAACGTTTCTTTGTTACATAGTATACTCTGTTTTGTTTGTAATATATGAATCATATAACACTTCTCTCGATGATATATTGCTGTATGTATAGGGATTTGGTTTTCAGCGTACTACTTTACGACTACTTGTATGACTATTGTATTTATGTTAAATGTTAAGTGGGGCTGTAAAATAAGTGATATAACTTGAGTTCAGTCCCACTTCGTCCTTGTATTTGTATTGCTTTATTCAATAAAAAAATCCCTATGACACCAGCTATCATGACTTGTTCTACAGTTGTCTTTCAAGTCTGGAAATATGAAAGGAAGCAGACAGAGTTAAACAGACGGACGCGCTCCACTGTAGTTTACAAGATAGCGACCAGAACACCCAATTGCAAAGTCAAACTTATCAACACATAACTTCCTAGACTGTACGACCAATGAAATACCTACCTTTCCATCTTGTTTCGCCCGGAACTCCCTGTCGTAGATGTGCCACGCCGTCGCGTGAGCCTTCAGCACGGTCCTGGCGGCGGCGTACACGCCTCGCTTCCCCTCCTTCCCGACAGTGTCCGCCAGTATGCCCTTACTTCCGTACGCAATCTCCGACCACGGCTCGTTAAACGTCGCCCAGTGCTTGACGCGGTCCCCGAACTCCGAGAAACAGAACCGCGCGTAGTCGCCAAACAGTTCCACCAACGCTTCGTCCAGCCAGCCCCGATACTTCTCCATGAGAGCCAGTGGCATGTCCCAGTGGTACAGGGTGACGAACGGGACGATGCCGTGCGCCACCAGCTCGTTGATGAGGCTGTTGTAGTAGCGGACACCGTCGGGGTTGAGGGAGTCCCTGGTGCCGTCCGGGAAGAGGCGGGGCCAGGAGATAGAGAAGCGGTAGTGGGAGGCGCCCAGCTCCGACAGGATGCGTACGTCTTCACGATACCTGAAATCACAGACAGAAAATAATTGAATACAAGTTCTTGTCAGGGAGTGAATTTTACTAGTATAATTTGATATAACTGTTGAGAATGGAGAACAAATTATATTGACAAGACAGTTTTGCGAAAACTAGCACTAGTTTTGATACTACTGACTTCTCGATAATGATAGAGTGATACAAACCTATGGTAACTGTCACATGTCACTTTTGCCGTGGTACCGTCCGAGGCTGCTTTTGTGTAGTTTAACCACGGATCCAGTATGGACGGACCTTTGCCTTCATCATTGTATGCTCCTTCTATCTATAGGGGTAGATGAACAAAGTTTTTTTTCACACAGACTACAATGCAAAAAAATCCGCATAGATTTTATTGAAGATATATACTTCATCGGTAATTTATCTAATATCATTTCGTATATTGGATCATGTCTGTGAAATTCTATAATTTTTTATAACCGGAGTCCCATCTCTTGTGATCATTGTCATTGTTAAAACTGATCCATGGAAAGACAGAATATTGCCTACTGCACGGAGCACTCCGAAAGACGAGAGACAAGATCGGGAACAAAGTCATTGGAAACAAACATAGGAAAGGATACAATGGTTTAATCATTTGAACAGAATGCCAACAATCCATGTCATCCCTTAAGGGCCTACACTGCCAAGTATTAAAGTGTCAGAGTTACGGTGCACACGCCCAGTCAGGTGAGCGCACCTGGCAGCAAAACGTCGAATACACGTCCCCAGACACAAAGGCAATGCTTAGTAAGTAAACTACTACACCTTGGAAAAACAATAATGACATGGGAGGACATACAAAGGTAGTATTGGACATGTAAAACCTTACCTGAAAGGCAGCCGAGGCAGCGCCCCACAGAAATCCCGGCGGGAACACACCTGGGCTGAAACCGTCCCTGTCCTCGTCAAAGGGAGGAAAAGCACAAGGCACTTCGGACACTTGTAAGGAAGCCATGTTCTTAATATTCCCGCTTCTGTCAGGAAAAGTTCATCCTCTGCCACAAATAATACTTATATTGTTTGCTTAGAAAGAAATACTGATAAAGAAATGCTAATGCGACATGTCAATAGCAAAGTTTTACAAGAGAATGGCTTCCAAATTATAAACCTACATTCAAATCAACATATTCCAGAATTCGACACTATTGACATGCGTTTTCAGAAGTTTTTGTTAGGCGTACATGCCAAGGCCCCAAACGACGGTGTCAGAGGAGAATTGGGAACTTTCCCAGTTACGGTGAATACAGAAATACAACTCGTTAAGTACTGGCATCGCTTAGTTAATTTATCCGAAGATGCCCTGCTTCGGGAGGCATACAATACTACCTTGCTTGGAGAACATGATTGGATTATACATGTGAAAGACATTCTGAACCTCAATGGTTTTGGGCACATATGGCTTAACCCGAAGTCATATCACATAGACTCAATTACTACTCAGCTGAAGCAACGTTTACAAGATATCTATATACAAAACTGGCATTGTGCCATTCGAAACAATTCTAAATTATCTTTCCTTTCCACCTTAGACAAGAATTACAAGCAAGAAAATTACCTTTCTAACATAAGGAGCTTTGACATACGTCGAGCAATCACAAAACTCAGAATTGGATGTCACAAACTCAGTATAGAAACCGGAAGATTTCAAAGGCTTCCTATTGACCAGAGGGTTTGTCCATTCTGCCCAGAACTAGTTGAGAATGAGTATCACTTTTTGATGGAATGTCCTAAGTATGTTGATGTACGCAATTCATTAAATACGAAACTATCGTCATATGTACCAGAATTTACATCGATGGATTTAAGTAGCAAATTTAAGATAATAATGACCTGTGATAACTCATGTATGGTAGATATAGGAATGTATATCAAACAATGTCTAGACATAAGAAATTCCTCCAATATTGTAAAAGTTCATTCACATCCTATATCAGCCACAAACTCCTGTATTAGTTAGTTTAGTCCATAGTTAAGTTTATAGATAAGTTTTGCCATACTTTGTACCATGTACAACTGTTGTGCAATAAAGTTATTATTATTATTATTATTAACTACTGTCCTTACCAGGAAAGACTGTTAAAGACGTTACCGTCTTATGAACTCTCGATAAGTGACTTGAAGGGGATAACCGTTCCGGTCCAGAGCGCCCGATACCTCCGATTGTATGGTATGGCCTTAAGCTTATCCCTGAGCAAATATTTACACCTGTGGTCCGGTGACCCAGGTATTACCTTTGAACTTACAAACTCTGACCCCGGTACCTACCATTGTGGCAGTGGGTAATGCAAGTACCTCAAGCTTTTGAACCGTTATGTGGAATATTCGAACAGAAATCCACTATCTTATGTATTTATATTACGACTTTAAATCGCGTGTTGCTATGTATAGAATAAAAAAAGTGCACAGGAGGCATATTTTCGTTAGCGTACGTGCTCAAAACGTACTACGATGGCCTTGACCTCCTTCACCAGGACTTTGACTAGTATTTCAGTGGGTAAACATGGACGCAGCAGACGCAAACCATTACTCCCAGAACAGGGCAAACCAGGATAACGTTGCTCGCCGCTGTCTGCTCAAGTTCTTAGTCCGGGGAGACACGGTGTTGGACGTGGGGTGTGGAACCGGGGAGATCTCACGGTACATCTCCCAACAACCCGGGGTCCGGACTTGCTACTGAATAGTTTTAACTAATCAGTAGCATTCGATAAAAAAGAAAAGAAAACTATACACGGATTCCGTTACGTATACATACATGTCGGACTTTCTTCATTTTTAAGTCCTGACGTGCGAACGATCTGTGGAAAAATTCGTGTTTGAAACAGAAGAAAAGGTGATCGACTTCGTGCGTCCGTTCACGAGGGTACAACACATCCCCCAGGAACAGCAGGCCGACTATATGTCCGAGTGGTGGTCTCATTTCCGCACGAACTTAATTTTTGATGCCGCCCGCAGTGTCTCATGGGCCGTGCCTCATATCACCCTACACGCCAGGAAAATTAGCAGTACTACAAACTAAACGTAACGTTAGTACTGTGAAGTGCCATGATGAAGGTCTTGATTTCTTCTGTGTAATGTGTGTTTCTGTTTTTGCTTGCCCGTAGATATTTCAAGGTGCTACCCAGATCGAATCCTACACGTTGGGCACTGACAAGAAGATAGGTCAAAGGTCCCAAAATTTTCCGGGAAATGAGATAACCTTTTCTGGAAATTTAAAATTTTGGGACCTTTGACCTATCTTCCTGTCAGTGCCCGACGTGTAGGCTTCGATCTGATGAGCACGTTGAAATATCTACGGTAACACGAGGCAGTTGGAAAACGGTTAGACAGAATCATCGAGGAAAGAAAAGAACAAGCAATTACACAAAAAGAAAGTTCTATATTTCACAGAAGGTATGAGATCTTTGTTTTCTTCTTAACTTTGTAGATTGCTGACTGGGGTATAAAACAACAAGAAAAGCTTATAATCTCTAGTGCAGCCTTTTCATTTCAACTGCATGTTTGAATGAATATTGTCTGTCTGCTTGTGATCTTAATTTATAAAACTGATATGACTATCCTGTAGAATTCTAAAGATGTCATGAGTCCATCTGGTATTTTAAATTCTTGCAAGCTTCAAACGTGTTGAAACACTACTAATATGCATCTAAGACGAATGCGACTTCCTCTGTTCTTGTGCTCTTTTCTTCCACCATTCCTGGACCTGTGTCGTGATTGGAGCTCCTTCCGGAAATCCGTTGTGCTTGATGACGTCACGGTAGAAGCTTGCAGACTCTTTAGGTACCTGAAAAAAGAAATTCATTATGAAACAAACAAAATCCATCATTTTGTGTGCCCTAATTCTACATTTTAGGAAATATAATTTTCTGCATGAAAAACGTCGAGCATTTGTGTATGGCAGGGCAAAAATGACTGGTAGGCTGATCGTACTGCAGCTAGGTGTCGCTGCTGCAATATTACGACGTCTGTCTCTTACCCTTTTCCTGTCGGGGTCGTTGAAGTCCACGTAGTACAGGCCCATCCGCTGGGAGAAGCCTGACTCCCACTCCAGGTTATCCATCAGACACCACACCGTGTAACCCTGCACATTCACTCCGTCATGTACCATCGCTGCCGGCAACAACAATGACGAGAAGAAAATTACTACCAAGAAAGGTTATCAAACTAGAAAGGTAACATTTGCGAAGCAAAGGCATGATGTTTACCTTCGCATATGGTCTGCTCTGTTAATTCTTACTCATACACCTTCTACCTTCATATATATGGTCAGAAAGGGGTATAAATCCCTCCTACTATAAAATTGCAAACATCATGTAAACCAACACCAGTTACCATGGTGAGAGACGTCAACAAATCTGGTCTTTGGTGAGAGGTCAGTGTTTGGGACGGAAGAAAAAGAAGAAACAGAGCAAAAACAATATGTTTGCATTCGGTAAACATAATAACTCACCCAACTCTAGAAAACTGCATTTAGCTGAATTTTCGGCATCATTACCCAGTTCATTCTGACATATGACCTTACGGACTAGTGACTTCTCTTATGTGTGCTAGGAAAAGCACGCCCTCAAAACGTACTAATTAAGCCTGTGGTTTTGCTATATTTATCCAGAGTGTGCCTAGTGTGACTTGATATCACATGGGCAGTGTTAATAACAACCTGTCACACCAGGCGCCTGGTGTGACAGGTTGTTTTTAACACTGCCCATGTGATATCAAGTCAGTGAACTTTTTAAATTAAGTTTACAAAAGTTTGTTCTGCTTATTAATGATTAATCTATTGAATGATCAATCTATTAAATACATCTGCTGTGCACATGTCCCTTTTATGTGAGAAAGACAGGTAAATGTTTGAATAGAAAGAACCTTCACACACAGCTGGTTCAGCTAGGTGACCTCACCTTTCCTGAGCTCGTTGATGTGCGCGGCGTGGTAGCAGCTCCTCCTGGTGTCCTTCATGTCGTACTGCCCCCCCTCCGCCATGTGTTCCTCGTGATACCCGTTCTCAGTCACGAAGATCAGAGGCACCTGGAACCGGTTCTTCATGTAGTTCAACACCTAGAATTCGAAGAAGTAGAACACATATATCGATGAAAAAATTGATGGTAATAAGATGCACTGCACTGAAAAAGTTGGATTTACCGATGGTAGTTAATATTTTTACTTTGTGAACATTACCGGACTTTGTAATGGAAATACATGTAAATGAAATACCACACTTGTCTTTTGTCCGGTACTGTTTAGGAAGTAAACATTGCCCGACTTTACGTAGCCTCCCACTGGCTTCAGAAGCGACTGGAAAGAGTAGAAATTTGCTAAATAGATTGGTCCGCTAAAGGAGCATAGTTTCCTTGACCGCTAGAAAGCCTGCACAGGAGGCTATCACCTTTCTGAAGCCCCACGGCACAACGCTGATGAAGAAGATACCCGGTGCAGGCCAGTCGGGGTGGGTCCCCACGTGAACGTCACCGTCCTCCTCGTCCAGCAGGTCGGGCTTGTCCAAGCCCTCCCCCGAGAGGGCGGACGTCAGCCGCGCGGTGTAGTAGTTCAGTCCCAGGAAGTCCGCGGTGCCTTTCAGCATGGCCTTCTCCTCGGCTGTGAATTCTGATAGGGTATAGATTGGTTTCTTTGTATTTTGTAAAACTCTTTTTAGCTTAAAGCTTAGCAGGTTTACATCATGAAGGATGATGAATGGTGTGTTGCAGGTGTTTCAACTTTCATAGCGGCCATGTTGGTGGTGAACATACATCCAAGATGGCGACACGACAATGATTCAAGGAAGAAATGACTCATAGTCAGTCTCACCGGGAAGCCGAGACTTTGCCAGCCCTTCCTCTGCGCTCCTCTTCCCGATGTACTCCTTCATGACTTCGGGGTAGTCGCCGTTGAGGAAGATGGGGTGCGCGAACCAGCCCATGTGGAACTGCAGGAACCGCTCTGCTGCGGCCAAGTCGTCGGCGCACTCCGGGTTCTTCGGCTCTGCCCACGTACAGCTCAGAGTGATGCCGAGCTGAAGAAAAAACAATACAAGGGGAGCATGCAACGTTTTCCTATGAAATTCAAACATACGGCATTTGATATGGTTTATAGTATGGTTGTAATCCACAATTTACCCGAATATCTCTAAGGCTGTAGCCGCCATGTTGGTGGCGCACATGTGGATCCAACATGGCGTTAAGTTAAAATTGTCACATGGTAACTTTGCATGCGGGCACGTTCGTCGTAAGATAGGTTTACGACAGAAAGCTGCCGTACAAAATTCATCTTGTGACCGCGTCCTTGTTGCCGCCACCATGTGAAAGCTCGCCGTACTACAAGACAACTCATATATAAAACGACCTACCTTGCCTCCCTGCTTCGCCCTGAACTCCTTGTCGTAGGTGTGCCACGCCTTGCCGTGAGCTTTGATCATGGTGTGCGCGCTCGCGTACATCCCCTCCCTGCCCCTCTCCCTGACCCGCGGCAACATCCCCACCATGCTGCCGACCACGATGTGCGACCACGGCTCGTTAAACGTCACCCAGTGCTTGACGCGATCCCCGAACTCCGAGAAACAGAACCGCGCGTAGTCGTTGAACAGTTCGACGATGTCCTCCGCCAGCCAGCCGCCGTGTTTCTCCTCCACCGCCAGTGGCATGTCCCAGTGGTACAGGGTGACGAACGGGACGATGCCGTGCGCCAGCAGCTCGTCGATGAGGCTGTTGTAGTAGCGGACACCGTCGGGGTTGAGGGAGTCCCTGGTGCCGTCCGGGAAGATGCGGGGCCAGGAGAGAGAGAAGCGGTAGTGGGAGACGCCCAGCTCCGACAGGATGCGGACGTCTTCACGGTACCTGATATGCGGACAACATCAACAGGTTATCAATCTTCACTGCGGCATGTGATTATGAAGTGATTAAATCTTCGGCATGCAGTGTTGGCGGGCCGTAATGAGATATGCGAAATGGAGTAAAATTTGGTTGAGGATCGAAACGTCCATCATGCAAAAGTCCATAAGTAGCCTCTACCAGGCTTCAGAGGCTGCTAGCAAGGGTGAACAAAATTGGTCAAATAGACCGATATATAACATGCCAAGGGAGTTAAAGTCCATCTAAAGGCGTTCAGTGCGGCAAACTGTATTACTTTAGCGGACCAAAACTCCCCTGTCTATTTGGCAAATTTCTACTCTTTCCAACTTCCTCTGAAGCCTGGCAGAGGCTATCCAGCAGGAGTCCGACTTACTTGTGATAACTGTCACACGTCACGTCCCCAGTGTGACCAGACCAGGCCGCTCCTTTCTGGAAATGCACGTCCATGATGGACGGACCTTTGCCATCCTCGTTCCAACCGCCTTCTATCTGAAAAACAGTGGGCCATTAATCTTTTGTTGCGAAATGTCTCTCTTTTATGTCATTATTTTATTTTGATGTGTCAAGTTGGCAGAAGTGGGTTGCTGGACAGTAACCTGTCGTGGGTAGCTTGGCACATCCTTTTTCTGTCCCCCAGCCCTTTCCTTTGTCTATGTCTCAGTAACGTCGAAAAGTTTTTAAAAATAGTTAAGAAACCTCCTGTCGCCCTTGTCTAGTCTTCCCTCTTTTTTGATTTTGTTATACCCCGATTAAAACGGGCCGTTTAGACTGTAAATGATCTAGGCTGGTGAACTAGTCAGAAGTTGTGTCTAGATTGTTGTATGGACGTAGCGGAGAAAAATCCGGATGGTACCCATGCAGGCTGGCCTGGACGTGGGTTTAAGTTCATGTTTGCTTCTTGCATATCATATAGTGCCTGTTTACTTGGTGTGTTGTATTGTAACGTGCATGGGCAACGTTATTAACAGATGCAGGCTTGGTCGTTAATCTACACAAGTGGGTAAAATAGTTGACATTGCAAGAAAGAGGAAGGTAACTAATGTATCTTGGCATGTGGTGGTTAATGACACTAAGATAAAGCACAAAACTTACAAAGGCACTAAATATTTCATGGAGGTATGAGATCTCTGAGTTCTTGTTTTGGTTTTGGGTCTGAAATCGCCCTGCGGGTCACTTAACAAACTTACAGCCTATTATGTCCTAACACTTGTGATAGCTTTTGGCTACATGGACGTCAGCTGAAGCAACATGATACAAGGTAATAAAACAGCAGAACGTATCATATATCACCGGGAGAATGCTAGAGTAACGTTAACTGGACAGCACTGTCAGCCTCTTTGGTCTTAAATTGGGAGATCGTATTAATGATCATTAATAGGTAATGTTCGTCGCTTGGGTGTACAAATCAAATACTAGCCTCTACCAGGCTTAAGAAGCGGCTGGAAAGAGAAGAAATTGGCCAGATAGACGGATAACATGCCAGGGAAGTCAGTCTTAGTTTACCGCTATACTCCTTTTGATAGCGGGCCAAATCCTGACCTCTTGCATATTATCTGTCTATTCGGCCAATTTCTACCGTTTCCGGTCTGATATATGACTAATGCATGTTAGTGTTAGATAAGCTAGATCGGCCAAATAGAGAGATAACATGCCAGAGAAGATACTCTTTCCAGGCGCCTCCTGAAGCCTGGTAGAGGCTAAGATAAGTAGCTCTCCTTCCCTACAAGGCCTTTTCTTATTAAGATCATTATTGTAGGCATTTATCTAAACCATCAAGGAGGAAAACATAGTTGTTTATGACGGACCGGCTCCTGTGACCTTTATGTGAATTTGGCTGAGCACTATAAAAAAAGGGGGAAAAGGGAAAGAAACGTGCATCATGAATTGAAGAAAATGGGAATACTGAACAGACACAGGGTACGTTAAACTCTGCCATTTTGGTATAGTTACATACACATATGTCCTTGCCCTTTTTCACAATGTCCACTGAACTGTGGCACTGGGCCAATTAACGCCCACTTTTCTGTAAATCATTCAAAATCATCCGACTCCAGTTTTTAGATAAGTGCATTGATATGGATTGTCCACACGATTTTACATTTTTTTTATAAATTTGACAACACCTGACACTTTTCCAATATTTACTAGGGCTGTAGTCACTTAATTTCATGCAGTTTTTTTTTCATAAAAATCACCGAAATGTCAGCAATATAAACAGAGTCCAAAATAGGAAAACAATGCAGATTCAACTGGACTATATCATCACATGCTCCATTTATAGAGGCCACGTGTTTGGGTAAAAATGTTAAGTAATCAATGCTCTAATGAAATAAAAATACATGTACAACTTGGCGGCTTGAATCGGTTATGGTTTGCGAAAGCGTTTTTCCTCATTCTACATTAATTGTTAACTTCTTTCATTACTAGAAGTTATTGCGTCTCTTTCCCCCTAAACTTTTCCTCGCCTTACCTGATACGCGGAAGACGCCACTCCCCACATGAATCCGGATGGAAAGGTCCCGGGTTCGAATCCGTCCCTGTCGGGGTCAAACGGCGGGAAGGCACACGGCACATCAGCCTGCATCTTGATCTTGTCTTCTTCTTTCGACGGGGCCATGATGTCGGTTCTTCCAAGGATTTAACCTTCTTGGTTCTTCTGAGTCCGTTAGTCAACTGGTAGAGGTAAACATGTATCTCCGGAATACATACACTCACGTCACACCCGTGGTGCTACCGGGATTGACCAATGGCAATGATTAATACTAGGACTGGCGATAAAGGAAGTAGGGCAATAAACACTTTGTCATGTGACGCTGCATATGATAGGCTAAAACATAACATTCGATCCTATTTTGAGCTGTTTTAGGACCTTTAGCCTTCCGAGAAATCCGGAGTATCACTCACAGGGTCGTAAAAGCTAATGTCATGGACACAAAAGGACTGGGTGGGTGCGTGGGGTATTTCCAAGCAGATGTTGGGAGGGATGATCATAACGCGAGACCAGCAGTGAATGTTGTCTGGTATTCATCCCTGTTATAACCCGACTTAAGTCACTTACCTCCCAGAACAAAATGCAATACATATACAGGAACTGACCGTTTGTCTGACCTTACGGTCGTGGCTGGCTTTGATATTTTGTTCAATTTGAACAAAATATCAAAGCCAGCCACGACCGTAAGGTCAACAAGTATGCAGCCCTAGCGGCAGACCTTAGAACAACAGGCATCACCACAACTCTTACCTGCTTCGAGATGTCCTGATGTTATGTGTCTAATGTCTCCCTGCATGTTCGGTCAGTTATGCCCGACGTGACCTGGGCTCAATGTTCCTTAATTTCTTATATTTGTGAATAAAGAATGAATTTACTACCACTCTCTGTAACATGTTTAGAGGATGAAGGATACATACTTACCGAAAATAGAATTGTTCAAACACATTATGACATCCAAGCACTACGTATACGTTGTAAATGAAAAACTATGTAGAACTTGTTCTTACATGTTTCAAAAAGAGAGAAGAGATCATGTAGATAGATCCTGTAGATAGAGACGTAGCACAGAAATATAACACTTGTTTCTTCTATCTATAGTTTGTATCCAAGTTGTAACTTAGTGCATTTGGCCCATGTAGGGCGTGAGTATGCAATTAAGTTCATTGTCATTATAGCTGTGGAGTCCCTTTCGTCCTCTCCCCAAATACATGCACGGGCCGAATGAGAGTCATAATTCTTTTCCTACCATTACCAATATCTTCTCGGAGATGATACTAGTGTGTTGTTTTTCTCCAAGTTTCACTAGGCAGCGTGTTTTACATAAGTGTTATCACGTCCAGGTAATAGCTCAGCAATTATATACATATACATACACATACACAGAACTTTATTGACACAACAAAAGTACAGTGACCTTCGTAAAGTCGGTCCGTATCGATCCATGGATACTATGGTGTAAATAAGGATGACGATGGCGTATTGCGGTCCTCAGTGTAGCCTGGGTGCCATCCTTTTTGTATACTGGAGCTCCCATACTCGCTTCCTAAAGATGCTTGGGGTTTCTATAAACCCGGTGAAAATAACCCCAAACCCAAACCTCTGCTTGGCCAATTGGACTTGTTGGAGAGTAATCCAAGCTAAACTTCTGAGTGGCATTTTAGGCTGATTTACGCTTTTCAAGTTCTGGTCTGATCGCCTTACGCGAGTGAGAAAACAAGCACTGAAAAGGCCACAGAATAAAAAATGCTAGTGCTAGCCAACGCGTACGGAAGGTCTGTACATGAAGCTACTATAAAGGTTTTGGGTGACACAACTTCAAGATTATTCTTCAACTGAAGTCGCCTGTGAATCTTATGTTGCCATATAAACGGGTGTAGAATTCATAGCAGATTTTAGGCTAGAAATTAGCATTAGTTGCTCTCTTGATAGCAACATTTTGTTTGTCGACCATTACGTCACGCCCCAAGCAGAAAGATAACATATGAAACTGTAATAGACTGCCCGTGGTGTCACACGCCCTAGAGAGCCTCATGCAATACATATTCAGTCCGCATGGAGGCTATTCGTCGCTCTGAAATTCATGCACAGCGGACTCGCTGAGGATGTCAACACTTTTCTAATAGCCAAATAGTTCAATGTATTTGTACTTTGTAGTTCTGAAAAATGATACCAGTATCTGATGATAAACTAGAACACATCTCTAATGTGTACTGTGCATGGTACTTCAAGTTCAACCAAGAACTTTCTATCAGAATGTCCTTGGTTCATGGTTCAACTTATTATTTCTGGATATTTGCTAGAGAACATGTCTCTAGCATAAAAATATTTGCCTATGTCTCTTATTGTAAAGCGCTGCAGACTAGCGGTTTTAGAAATGAATGAGTTAATAAATGTATAGATGGAATCGATGGATGGATGGATGGTTTATCGTTGATGACATAAAGTACTACAGTGTAGTACCATACATTGATGACAACCATCGCTTGACATAATGACTGCCATCAAGGCTGACTTGAAATGGTACACAAATCTGTGGCATGGGGCAGGTAGCTTAAATATAGTTTTTTTTTTAATTTTAGTTACGCTTGAAAGACTTCACTGCGAAAAAAAGTTTACAGGCCGAAATCATACATCTGCTTGAAGATGACACGCCCGTCACTGTCCCATCATCGCGAAGCCTACCAGAGGTAAAACATCTGGAAGTGTTTGAGTCGGGCGTGGGAACGGCTCCGGGGAGAGTCCGGGCGCGCCAGCGGGAGCCGGCAGGCCTGAGCGCCGTAACGACCCGGTCTGACGCCACCCTGTCACCGCCGTGATGGATGAGGTGGTATAAAAACATCACAACTTATCTCCAACCACGCGCACATTGCCTCGCCATCTCATCTTCTCCTTTATCTGAAGTAGATAATCCCCGGTGTCTACTGTGCGGGGTATTACACTACCTCTTTACATATAATACAACAGGTATTTAGAAAACCTCATGGGAGCCTCAGGTTTCCTCTGCAAGAAGAACAAAATATATACTTCATATCTAATATACAAAAACACCTCTTCTTCCACTGGTTTTTGTGTCCGATTCTTATCAAACCTAAAATCATAAGGAGCTTGACACGAAGACGACAATTATCTATTTAGCGTCTATGTGTGATGCGCAAACTCGATGCAAGTTGTTTGTAAGCAAACGGGAAAGGAAAGACGAGTTGTTGTTGTTTTCCTTCTGTCCACTAGTTACTGAAATGTGCCAGACCCTCGCGTAGAATGGCCCCTCATATAAAAGTGCATCGGCTCAATGTGTTTTTCTTATCCCTGGGATGTTGTTGTTGTTAAATCTTTCCATCCTGGCTGTCAGGTTGCGCCCTTCCAGTGGGAACCATCCATCAACAGTTCGTGACAGCTCGCATCACATGTAAACCCTCCACCCGGCGACAGATCCCATCACACCAGTCCACACGACCAGGGGGAAACATCGTAGAGAGGACTTACAGCAAGCGGCAACTTTTCCTGTGCAAATGCCTTCCTACGGTTACAACTACTTTCCCGGCTTGTCTCCCAATGCGGAGAGAAAATTTAGGCCCACGAGTTCTTCGGATGAAGCGGGGACGGTAAACGCGACGCAACAGCATCAACAACACGCCCACGTGCAGGGGAAAAACGGCGGGGTAAAAGGAGGAAGAAGGAAGCGCCCCAGCCGCAAGAAGGACCCGGCGAACCCCGAGTCGCTGCTGCGGCGACTGGTGGCGAACTCGCAGGAGAGGGACCGCATGCACGGGCTGAACGACGCGCTGGACCGGCTGAGGAGACACATCCCTCTGCACCTGGGACCCCGCAGGCTCTCCAAGATTAAGACTTTACGCCTGGCCATGGCGTATATCGAGGCGCTGACAGACATGGTGCAAGGATCAGCCAGTGCCCTGTCGTATCCCGATAGCGAGGACAGTTTCCAAGATAAATCCGAGGAATCAGAAGCGCCAGAACAAGACGCCGGAAAGCCGGCCGGCCAGCGTTTTTCCGGACAGGCCGCCATTAGCGGTAAGAGCTTCTTTGGGAGGTCGAAGGAGAGAGGAAAGGGAAGGATGAGAGGACATGGCAAGGGGGCGGGCAGGTCCGGACCCGAGGTCACCAGGCCAAGCGGCTACACAACAGGAATACAGCGGTAGGTACTACAACTTTTCACTTGACTGCATGTGCTTGTGTTGTGAAGTCGTATCGTGTTTGAAGAAACTTGAAGACTAAACTGTATTTCAACACAAGATATCACAATTCCGTAATAAAAATTATGCTCTTTGTAAACTGTAGAGTCGGTGTGGAGTTCAGCAAAATATCACACCCTTCTCTAAAATTATACAAAACGTTATATGGCTTTACCACTGTACAGAGCTAGAGGCTCTGGTACCGGTTAGAGTAGTCCTTTATTGTACATGTATAACTTTTTTGATAGGGGGTTTTGTCTTTCCATGGAGGCAGAAAAAAGGCCTTTTTACCTCCATGGTCTTTCGTACAACTTTTTCTGTACCAGTCACCGTAAAAGGGTGTCGGTAAGATTCAAATTTATGACGCGGAGAAACGAATATAATCCTCTCCTGTGCGCCAAGCTTGCCATGAAATAGATGAAGTTGCCAACAAAATTATACAACGCTACCTTCCCTCGTACGTTTTGACTATTTGGTTCCCCTATCACTGTATCAGACAGTTATCAGACAGACCAGCGCTTTTCGCACATTCCTGCTAAACATTCTCACACGCCTGCGACATTAGAGGATTTGTCCCTTTCGTCAGTCGCACCTCGTCGACATGTTGTTTTTAACACTTTCAACTGGCTACTATAATCTACTTAGAATAGACCCATGATGTCGTGTTTTAGTAGTCCATCCATTTCTGTCACACTTCTTTTCAAAATAAACGACTGTTTATTTGCCATCACTAAACTGTCCATTCACTAACAGTTAGTGGGGGTGGGAACATTTTGGTTGTTTATTTTACCGATATTGGGGACAGAAGGATGCGGTGATGGCTTTAGTTCGGAAGGAGGCGTACAATTGGGAAAATTGCGACCACATGATACGGCGAGGAGTAGCCTCTACCAGGCTTCGGGAGGCGGCTGCAAAAAGTAGAAATTGTACTCGATCTCTAGCGGACCAGCTCCATCGGCATATTATATCTCTCTACTTTTTCCGGCCGCCTCTCGAAGCCTGGTAGAGGCTGGGGAGGAGACTTTCGTGATAGAAATTCTTGTCGTTAATTTGTTTCTTCAGTAAATTCAAACTTGTTTTGCTGAGCGCGGCCGCTGGTATATACCTGCCGCCGACCTAAGATCTAATATAATTTGGCTTTTCCGTAACAGGACTCCTATCCTAGAAATTACGCTTGGTGGTGCTTTGCCCCCCTCCAAAAAGCCTTTACCAGACTTAGAAGCGGCTGGAAAGAGTAGAAATTGGCAACATAGACGGATACTAGTAACATGCTAGTTGGCCCGCTGAATACTTTTCAGAATCCGCAAACTGTTCACCTTTTATAAATGGCAGATCAAGTCCTCTGGCATGTCTCAATATGGCCAACTTCTACTCTTTCCATCCGCTTCTGAAGCCTTGTAGAGGCTAGCACGTGGTATCTTAAATCTGGCCTGATTTCTACCCGTCTCGTTTATTTTTCCTGTACAGATGTGACGGCGGCAGTGTGGCTTCCTTCAGGGCTTCATCATAGGACAGGTATAGCAGCCATCCGCCAAGTCATCACTGCGCCTGCGCAATCTGACGTCACGGGACCACCGTCATGTGCCATGTTTACACATATAGGAATGGATTTTGAACTTCTATGTTTTTCCTTTCTATGTATCCACGTTAGCAGATTATTTCGTTGTAATATATTAATATGAAAACTGACACATTCCACAAGTGTTGAAACATTTCTACCTCATTATATTGTTAGGAGTGAGAAACAAATAACACAGTTATTGAACAGTGTAATAGTACGGGTATTTTGGTCTTTGTTAATAGTAGCTTTGTAGCAATATAATCGGTACCGATAGTTATACTTGCTTGCGAAGATGAACATTTGTATCTTTTTACCATTTGCCATTAAAATGTGCAGTTTTTGTTAAAAAAAAACTATGGCAACGTGTACATTTTTCTCACATTTATGTAATGAATATTATGAATATGTTATGAATGGTATGAATATCAATACCTGTAACTGAATTTGTCCGTCGTTTTGCCGACACCTACCCACAAACCAAATAATAATAATAAATTCGAGTTGTGCTATCTATAGCCTGACTAAAACCGCGCCTCTACCAGACTTTTAAGTCGCTGGAAAGAGTAGAAATTGGCCAAATAGACAGATAACACGCCAGGGGGTGGTCCGCTAAAGGACTGAGTTTCCTGCTGGTATACTATCTCCCTATTTGACCAATTTCTACTCTTTCCAGCCGCTCCTGAAGCCTGTTAGAGGCTAGGCCGCCCCACAAACCGGTTTTGGGGAGGGCACCGGTGCCAGTTAGCCCCTTTCAGCGACAGATTGTGTAACACAGGCTGTGCTATATACAAACACACACACACACACACACACACACACACACACACACACACACACACACACACACACACACACAAACGGCACTGAAAACATACTTCTGGTCACAATCCGTTCAAGAAAAATTGAATTTGATGTTGTTGCTATTTCCATGTTACTGGTGGTGGCTAGTTTGTACTTGTTGCAACCTTGCACAGAAAGGCAACGCTCAACTTCAATACTCTACAAGCAGAGGTTGTGGGGGAATGATCGTTACCTTTTTATATATGGCCGTTTTTTTGTCCTGACCCCCACCCGTCGGTGGCTGCCGACCTTCTCTGGCTAATGGATACTGCCTGGCCAATTTGATACTGTCTTTTTGCCACCGATAGGGATCTGCTTGGAGATTAAACTTCAACGGAAGTATATATGTGTGATAGGTCAAACCTTGCCAAAAGAACAAGAGTCCAACCCTCCTCAAACAAAGAAAGACGAAGGTGCCTGGTGCGTAACCACAAGACGTGTTCACATGACATAAATATAGTAATCACTAGGTGCGGGGTGGTACATAATCGATATAAGATCAGTCCAACATATCGCCTTCTCTAACAAAGACAGACGAAGGAGCCAGGCGCGTGCTTGTACCCATAGCACCAATACACAAGATATGTGATTATAGCTTTGTTCACGTGACAAAAATATAGTCATCACTAGGTACGAGGTGGTACGGGTAGTACCCATGTGATTAGTATAATATCAAAGATCAGTTCAAAATATCATAATGCAAATACAGCATTCCTCAAGTCAGCGCAATCTTGAAGGGCGTGACGCTTTGGCCCCGAAGAGGTCGAGCCCCAGCTCGTTATATAAAGGCCCTGGAAGAAAACACATCCTAGAGTACAGATACAGCCGTGAGACACGAATCCTAGCCCCCAAGACAAATCTGGAACTGTAAAAGGTACGTCAGATTTCAATTCTTACTTTGGTCTGGGTGCCCATCCTATGTGTCCTATTTATGTACCGAGGCATCACTGGCACCCATTCTAAATTACTTCTAAATACTAACTGTTATTACATTTATTGTCCTTTCATAGTAATGTACAAATGTGTCTCTATTTCATACTATGGCGGTGAAGATGGATTTCGAAGTTGTGCCGGATGGTTCAAACTGATCAGGTCGACTTTCTGCCGGCTAGCAGATTTTAATAATACATTGCTCTTCGCGTTAGCTAGATTGAGCGAATTACACTCCTCTAAAACTATTAAAGCCAGTCGGGAATTTTCTGTCCTTCGATTAAAACGCCTAAGCAGACGAAGTCTTGACGAGAATTTTGGTATTTTCTGTGAAGGAATTCCTTGGTGCGTGAATAGAGAAACCTATTAGAAGTCTCTCATGACAGAATCTGATCACACTATTGATCAGTAGAATTGCCAGTTCCACCAGATCACAATCTGTACTTAAACATATATACCCTGTCCATTTCAGGAACAGAAGATGCGGACCCTCCTCCTCCTGTGCGCCCTGGCGGCGGCCACCCTGGCCCTGACGCCCGAAGAGATGCTGGAGTTCAAGGCTCGGGACGTGACTGAGCAGAACACCGGCCTGAAGGGGACCGTTACCGTCACCGAGGCCGGAGACGTCATCACCATCGTCAGCAACGGCATTCCCGACCACGCCACGGCCATCTACCCCAACCAACACAACCCTAACCGCATCGAGGTAAGGAAGTGTCAATTATTCTTCAGTTTTCACTGTGTGTGTGTGTGCGCGCGCGCATGTGTGTGTTTGTGTGTGTGTGTGTGTGTGTGAGAGAGAGAGAGTGCGCGTGTGTGTGTGTGCGTGCGTGCGTGTGTGTGTGAGAGAGAGCGTGCGTGTGTGTGTGTGTGTGTGTGTGTGCGTGCGTGCGCGTGTGTGTGAGAGAGAGAGTGCATGCGTGTGCGTGCACTCGTGAGTGCGTGTGTTTCTGTGCGTGCGTGTGTGCGCGCGTGCGGTGTGCCTTCTATCAGATATAAGAAGATACCTTATGCTACACATACATATATATATGTATGTCAGAAAAAATGCAACATGAAGTAATGTAAGACGCGTCGAATTTCTTTCCTAATGAGGAATCTTACTACTGTGTAAACACCTGTTGCATATGCTTTGCCTGGTTTCGGCAAACACGGGTGCTTACAGCACACACACACAGAGTAAATAACATTATCAAAATAAGTGCTTCACCAGGGGAGAAGGGCAGGTCGCAATCTTAGGGGCAAAGTCTTTCACTGTGTATTGAACTGTGTCGAAAAATGGCTAAAGCTATAGGCAAACGGTAAAACAACGTATAGACATCGCGTGGTCTTAGTGTCCTTATCATTTTTTATTGAGAAGTGGGTGGTTTCAAGACTTTCCTTCGCAAAATGGGTGTGAAACAGTCTAGAGGCTAAGGACGAAGCGTGGAGTAGTCCAAATTAACTCAAAAACAAAAAAAAAAGTAGATTTTGATCTGTTCAAAATGTATCTGGGCCAAATTAACATCGCTATTTCCTTTTTTTTCAGGCACAAAATTACCGGTTCACCATCCCGAAGAACCCCCAGGTGGCGAGCCAGACGTCCTGCCTGCCGATGGGTCCGGTGGGCGTCGCCATCAACGGCGTTCCCATCTTCAACCCCTTCACCATCGAGTGCCTCGACGCCAAGGAGAACGAGGTCTTCGACGAGTGCGACGGCCACCCTGCGCCAGGCGGGCAGTACCACTACCACATCCACCCCGACTGCGTCTTCGACGGCACTAGCTCGCACTCCCAGATTGTCGGTGTCGCCGCCGACGGTTTCGCGATCTACGGCCCCGTGGACGACGACGGGACCGTGCTGACCAACGCCGACCTGGACGAGTGCCACGGCCGCATGAAGAACGGGGTGTACCGGTACCACGTCACCAACGAGTATCCCTACTTCATGGCGTGCTTCAAGGGCGCCGTCAGGTCCGATAGCGGCATCAACACCGACATGTGCCAGTGCCCGATGGACGGCGTCAGCACCGGATCCAACACCGACGGCACCGGCACCTTCACGGGAGGCATCTTCGACCAACCCTTCGGCCAGCACCACCACCCACCCCCCAGGAACGCCATCCCCGACAACCACCTCTCCTACCAGGACTTCCTGCAGTGGCAGCAGCACCAGCAGCAGCTGCAGGCTTCCCAGCAGACCGTACAGCAGCCGCTGCAGGACGCCGCCGCGACCCAGCCGCTGACGCTGTTCCAGATCTGGCAGCAGCACCAGCCCAGCTGCGAGCAGTGGCAGCAGCAGCAGTGGCACCAGTTCGAGCGGGTGTTCCTGCAGTTCCAGCAGCAGCAGCAGGCGCTTCACCACCAGGCGGCGGCAGGTGGAGATGCAGCACCTGATCAGCAGCTGCAGCAGGCTGCGCAGACCAAGAAGCAGCCGTTCCGACCCCGCGCACCTGTCTCTGTGTAAAAGTACCAACGTTGCACCTGTTTGAGGGACAGATAATTCACGAGCTTGAAATCCCCAGACTCCCCTGGTCACTGAAGTTGGATGATGAAAATTAACCAAACTGAATGACACAGCATTAATAAACAACAAATAAAGAGAGTTTAATTGTCATTGTTACTTTTCTCCATGCGTCTTTATCTTGCAAAAGATCTATATATAGGTAGTCAGGTGTAAATCACCGCTGGTCTTTCATTCACATCACCAAAGCCAAAACTTGACTGATTGTTTGCTGGCGATTGTAGATTAGGCCACCCCGACTTGATTTTATGGATGACATCCTCTGAAGACGCCCAAACTAGTGCGCGCGAGCGAATAAAAAAAAATTCCGGCCAAAAATAAAAATGCTACTAAACCACAGGAATACAAAGCTGGTATTGTGAATTTGCGGTAGTACATAGCGACGTATACTACAAGCCGCACATTCCAGCTTTTTGCGGAATTTATGAATCAGCACTGCACGCATGTACTGAGGTCTTGAGTCGTGGAGCTTCGGCAGCCTGGGTGCCATCTTCCACATTTATCGCCGGCTCCGTATTGTCGCTAGCTACCCAGAGCCTCCAAGGACGTGATCTTACCCTCGAAGGACGTGAGAGTACAGTACCGTATGCCTGAGAAAAGTCGAGGTCGATTATATATATATCTTCGCGTCAATTCGGCTGGATAATACGTGCCACTCCTGAATAATAAGGCTGGAAGCTGATTTATAAAATACATGGAGCTATATGGATTGTAACAGCAGCAAATGGCGCTGGGTTGATCAACACTAGAATTGTGACCTCTTGCTGGATCATAAACTCGAGCAACGACTACAGACGCGTATAGATTCATATAGTCGCGGTTAAATTTTCGACAAGAAGTAAGGAGCGTGTGGAGTGTGCGTGTACTGGTATCTCTCTCTCCCCCCTCTCTCCGTCCCTCATTCTCTCCCTCTCTCCCTCCTCTCTCCCTCTCATTCTCTCCCTCCCTCTCTCCCCCCC